CCTAGTGGACAATATTTCCCTTACAACATACACCCTTGTGGACAATACTTCCTTTACAACATACACCCTAGTGGATAATACTTCCATTTCAACATACACACTAGTGGACAATATTTCCCTTACAACATACACCTACTGGACAATACTTCCATTACAACATACACCCTTGAGGACAATAATTCCATTTTATCATACACCTACTGGACAATACTTCCATTACAACATGCACCCTAGTGGACAATACATCCATTACAACATACACCCTAATGGACAATACTTCCATTACAACATACACCCTTGTGGACAATACTTCCATTACAACATACACCCTAGTGGATAATACTTCCATTTCAACATACACCCTAGTGGACAATATTTCCCTTACAACATACACCTACTGGACAATACCTCCATTTCAACATACACCCTAGTGGACAATACTTCCGTTACAACATACACCCTAGTGGACAATATTTCCCTTACAACATACACCCTTGTGGACAATACTTCCTTTACAACATACACCCTAGTGGATAATACTTCCATTTCAACATACACACTAGTGGACAATATTTCCCTTACAACATACACCTACTGGACAATACTTCCATTACAACATACACCCTTGTGGACAATACTTCCATTACAACATACACCCTAGTGGATAATACTTCCATTTCAACATACACCCTAGTGGACAATATTTCCCTTACAACATACACCTACTGGACAATACTTTCATTTCAAAATACACCCTATTGGACAATATTTCCATTACAACATACACCCTTGTGGACAAAATTTCTGTCACAACATACACCTCCTGGACAATACTTCCATTTCAACATACACCCTAGGGGACAATACTCCCGTTACAACATACACCCTAGTGGACAATATTTCCCTTACAACATACACCTACTTGACAATACTTCCATTTCAACATACACCCTAGTGGACGATACTTCCATTAGTACACACCTTAGTGGACAATACTTCCATTACAACATACACCCTAGTGGACAATACTTCCATTATTTCACACCCTAGTGGACAAAACTTCCATTATGACACATCTTAGTGGATAATACTTCCATATTACACATCCTAGTGGACAATACTTCCATATTACACACCCTAGTGGAAAATACTTCCACATTACACACCCTAGTGGACAATACTTCAATATTACACATCCTAGTGGACAATACTTCCATATTACACATCCAAGTGGACAATACTTCCATTATTACACACCCTTGTGGACAATACTTCCCTATTACACACCCTAGTGGACAATACTTCCATTATTACACACCCTTGTGGACAATACTTCCATTATTACACATCCTAGTGGACAATACTTCCATATTACACACCCTAGTGGACAATAATTTAATTTTAACATACACCTACTGGACAATACTTCCATTACAACATGCACCCCAGTGGACAATACTTCCATTACAACATACACCCTAGCGGATAATACTTCCATTACAACATACACCCTGGTGGATAATACTTCCATTTCAACATACACACTAGTGGACAATATTTCCCTTACAACATACACCTACTTGACAATACTTTCATTTCAACATACACCCTAGTGGACAATATTTCCATTTCAACATACACCCTAGTGGACGATACTTCCGTTACAACATACACCCTAGTGGACAATATTTCCCTTACAACATACACCCTTGTGGACAATACTTCCTTTACAACATACACCCTAGTGGATAATACTTCCATTTCAACATACACACTAGTGGACAATATTTCCCTTACAACATACACCTACTGGACAATACTTCCATTACAACATACACCCTTGAGGACAATAATTCCATTTTATCATACACCTACTGGACAATACTTCCATTACAACATGCACCCTAGTGGACAATACATCCATTACAACATACACCCTAATGGACAATACTTCCATTACAACATACACCCTTGTGGACAATACTTCCATTACAACATACACCCTAGTGGACAATATTTCCCTTACAACATACACCTACTGGACAATACCTCCATTTCAACATACACCCTAGTGGACAATACTTCCGTTACAACATACACCCTAGTGGACAATATTTCCCTTACAACATACACCCTTGTGGACAATACTTCCTTTACAACATACACCCTAGTGGATAATACTTCCATTTCAACATACACACTAGTGGACAATATTTCCCTTACAACATACACCTACTGGACAATACTTCCATTACAACATACACCCTTGAGGACAATACTTCCATTACAACATACACCCTAGTGGATAATACTTCCATTTCAACATACACCCTAGTGGACAATATTTCCCTTACAACATACACCTACTGGACAATACTTTCATTTCAAAATACACCCTATTGGACAATATTTCCATTACAACATACACCCTTGTGGACAAAATTTCTGTCACAACATACACCTCCTGGACAATACTTCCATTTCAACATACACCCTAGGGGACAATACTCCCGTTACAACATACACCCTAGTGGACAATATTTCCCTTACAACATACACCTACTTGACAATACTTCCATTTCAACATACACCCTAGTGGACGATACTTCCATTAGTACACACCTTAGTGGACAATACTTCCATTACAACATACACCCTAGTGGACAATACTTCCATTATTTCACACCCTAGTGGACAAAACTTCCATTATGACACATCTTAGTGGATAATACTTCCATATTACACATCCTAGTGGACAATACTTCCATATTACACACCCTAGTGGAAAATACTTCCACATTACACACCCTAGTGGACAATACTTCAATATTACACATCCTAGTGGACAATACTTCCATATTACACATCCAAGTGGACAATACTTCCATTATTACACACCCTTGTGGACAATACTTCCATATTACACACCCTAGTGGACAATACTTCCATTATTACACACCCTTGTGGACAATACTTCCATTATTACACATCCTAGTGGACAATACTTCCATATTACACACCCTAGTGGACAATAATTTAATTTTAACATACACCTACTGGACAATACTTCCATTACAACATGCACCCCAGTGGACAATACTTCCATTACAACATACACCCTAGCGGATAATACTTCCATTACAACATACACCCTGGTGGATAATACTTCCATTTCAACATACACACTAGTGGACAATATTTCCTTTACAACATACACCTACTTGACAATACTTTCATTTCAACATACACCCTAGTGGACAATATTTCCATTTCAACATACACCCTAGTGGACGATACTTCCGTTACAACATACACCCTAGTGGACAATATTTCCCTTACAACATACACCCTTGTGGACAATACTTCCTTTACAACATACACCCTAGTGGATAATACTTCCATTTCAACATACACACTAGTGGACAATATTTCCCTTACAACATACACCTACTGGACAATACTTCCATTACAACATACACCCTTGAGGACAATAATTCCATTTTATCATACACCTACTGGACAATACTTCCATTACAACATGCACCCTAGTGGACAATACATCCATTACAACATACACCCTAATGGACAATACTTCCATTACAACATACACCCTTGTGGACAATACTTCCATTACAACATACACCCTAGTGGATAATACTTCCATTTCAACATACACCCTAGTGGACAATATTTCCCTTACAACATACACCTACTGGACAATACCTCCATTTCAACATACACCCTAGTGGACAATACTTCCGTTACAACATACACCCTAGTGGACAATATTTCCCTTACAACATACACCCTTGTGGACAATACTTCCTTTACAACATACACCCTAGTGGATAATACTTCCATTTCAACATACACACTAGTGGACAATATTTCCCTTACAACATACACCTACTGGACAATACTTCCATTACAACATACACCCTTGTGGACAATACTTCCATTACAACATACACCCTAGTGGATAATACTTCCATTTCAACATACACCCTAGTGGACAATATTTCCCTTACAACATACACCTACTGGACAATACTTTCATTTCAAAATACACCCTATTGGACAATATTTCCATTACAACATACACCCTTGTGGACAAAATTTCTGTTACAACATACACCTCCTGGACAATACTTCCATTTCAACATACACCCTAGGGGACAATACTCCCGTTACAACATACACCCTAGTGGACAATATTTCCCTTACAACATACACCTACTTGACAATACTTCCATTTCAACATACACCCTAGTGGACGATACTTCCATTAGTACACACCTTAGTGGACAATACTTCCATTACAACATACACCCTAGTGGACAATACTTCCATTATTTCACACCCTAGTGGACAAAACTTCCATTATGACACATCTTAGTGGATAATACTTCCATATTACACATCCTAGTGGACAATACTTCCATATTACACACCCTAGTGGAAAATACTTCCACATTACACACCCTAGTGGACAATACTTCAATATTACACATCCTAGTGGACAATACTTCCATATTACACATCCAAGTGGACAATACTTCCATTATTACACACCCTTGTGGACAATACTTCCATATTACACACCCTAGTGGACAATACTTCCATTATTACACACCCTTGTGGACAATACTTCCATTATTACACATCCTAGTGGACAATACTTCCATATTACACATCCTAGTGGACAATACTTCCATTATTACACACCCTAGTGGACAATACTGCCATATTACACACCCTAGTGGACAATACTGCCATATTATACACCCTAGTGGACAATACTATGCAGCCACTTTCATCCCACAAAACAAGCCATTGCAAAGTTAAGCAAACTGCACTCTCTTATCTACAGTTTTTTATAAGATTTCTTTTTTGATGGATGTTTGTAAATAGGATTGTTTTTAAAAACAAGATCCAATTTCTCCATCGTCAGCTGTAGACATTTTTTAATATAAAAAAAATATGTGCTCCTTTGTTCTTACCTTCCATTCAGTGGAGAAAATGGCCGCTAACCAACATGTTACATGGCTGGATGTCATGTATGAATGTCCCTACGTGTTTCTTGTTTTACGTGACGAGTCTATGTTTCAGTCTCTTGACAGTTCCTAAGCAAAGACATCAACTTTGGGATGAAAAATCTAAATTTCTTTGGTGATGAACTATTCTAATTTATTCCCTTTCCAAGTTCTGTAGACAACAAAGAAGGAGAAAAAATGTATTACCTTATTTTTTAGGGATGTGTCATTAGAATACAGCTGGTTCATAAAAAATGCAGTAATGAATTGCACCAACTAACCATCTGCTTTCATGATAAGTTATGCATGAGCACAATGCATTCTAGAATGGATAGCAAGTGTCAGTTTCTTTAATGCATTCATGCCTTGTTCAAAATAACTCAGATGTTTGAGTGAGTGAGTGAATGTTGTTTAACGGGGATGTCACTAATATTTCAGCTATATCCCAGCAGCCTGTAAATATTGAAGTCTGAAATATGTCTCATCCAGGTAAACCAGTTGATGATAGCAACCCACCGATCCAATGGTTGACAGTATTAGTACTGATGATGGACAATCACTCAAGTCACTCGCTGTAACCACTGAGCCACTCAAGTCACTCGCTGTAACCACCGAACCAATGGTTGACAGTATTATTACTGATGATGCACAATCACACAAGTCACGCACTGTAACCACCGAGCCACTCAAGTCACGCACAGTAACCACCAAACCAATGGTTGACAGTATTAGTACCGGTGATGCACAATCACACAAGTCACGCACTGTAACAACCGAACCAATGGCTGACAGTATTAGTACCGATGATGCACAATCACACAAGTCACGCACTGTAACCAACAAACAATGGTTGAAAGTATTAGTACTGATGACACACAATCACTCAAGTCACTCGCTGTAACCACGATCCAATGGCTGAAAGTATTAGTACTGATGACACACAATCACACAAGTCATGCACTGTAACCACCGAACCAATGGCTGACAGTATTAGTACTGATGACACACAATCACTCAAGTCACTCGCTGTAACCACGATCCAATGGCTGAAAGTATTAGTACTGATGACACACAATCACACTAGTCACGCACTGTAACCACCGAACCAATGGCTGACAGTATTTGTACTGATGACACACAATCACTCAAGTCACTCGCTGTCGCCACTGAACCAATGGTTGACAGTATTAGTACTGATGACACACAATCACTCAAGTCACGCACTGTAACCTCCGAACCAATGGCTGACAGTATTAGTACTGATGACACACAATCACTCAAGTCACGCGCTGTAACCTCTGAACCAATGGCTGACAGTATTAGTACTGATGACACACAGTCACTCAAGTCACGCGCTGTAACCACCGAACCACTCAAGTCTCGCGCTGTAACCACCAAACCGAACTGGTTAGCCACTAAATAAAACTCCACTTGTACATCTCACCTGTGAGAGTTGAGGAAACAGTGCTAAGGCCATAGGAAGTGCAAGTCCAAACATTGCTGTACACACAACTGCATTGAATGGCAAGTGGATTCTTGGATATGTCTTGAGAAACTTGGTTCTACAAGTTGAGCAAATCAGAAACACATTTCTGTCACATCTATCAAATCTTGAAAGGTCATAATGTAGGTCAAGGCCAGCTTCTTGACCCACAGGGAATTGACATTTTTTAAGTGATGGAAAACTTTGAAATATTGTTATGTTACTTGACATATATATATGGCATACAAGTAGGCATTTTCTTTCTTACACTTGCAAGCTTTGGACTTTCGACTTGATTAAGTACTTAAGTAGGGCCAACATGAGGGAAAATGGCCCTAACTTCAAGATAAAACTATGTCCACATCCTTGACCCTTACTGATTTTTTGCAATTATGAGTCAAAGGCTTTTTCATGTTAAGTATTACAAAAAAGCATCCCGATAACCTTTCAAATCAGCCTTGTAGCCTTACCTCTTATGAAAAACATCTGCTCACTATCAAAATGACAGATCATGTCTAATTTGTTACAAATATTTGATTGAGCTTCTAAGGAAAAGGAACTTTACAGATACTCATTTGAATAAATTCATCCAGTATTCATGAGCTATGTCAAGGTTAGGAAACATAATTCAGTTTCAAATCTTGACATAGCCTATGTATACTAGAAAGTTCAATATATATTAAGGAAAATAATTTTCAATCTTTATGCTCAAATAAACATCAGGTGAAAATCTCAGGATGACTGTGTACATATAACAGAGATTTCCGAGAAGACCATTCCTAATGAGTTCACTTATAACTTTCTACCAAGTAAGTTTGTTTTCTAGGAATGATTCTCTCATTCCAAATTCTGACTTTTATATGAAACCCCTCCAGTCAGCTGACTCACTTTTCCAAGGCAGCCATGATGATTGGAGGGATGATGAGAACTGGAGCTGGCAGGAACATCCGGGTCAAGGCCGTCTCCTTCAGAGCCTGAGGTCAGAGGTCAAGGATCAGAGGCCAGAGGTCAGAATCATTATTGTACAAGATAAGAAATACTACGTCCTCATAATGTCTTAATCTTCATAATTTTGGGTCAATGTAATATTTTTATATGAAACTTAAACTTTCCTTCAATTTGCACGAGCAACAAACCTTGTTTTGTTTAGATAGTTGAAAACGTATATTAGTATTTGACAAAATGGCCACATAAATGAAATAAAGCTCTGTGTTTTGTATTTTGGTACGAGATAATCAAACGCAACAATGCCATTTTGTCACACAGTCCTCATTCTTTGTCATGCAAATAGATATTTGCTGCTAAAATCATTTTCTTGTCCTTCAATTGGAGTGAGTGAGTGAGTGAGTACGGTTTTACGCCGCTTTTAGAAATATTCCAGCAATATCACGGCGGGGTACACCAGAAATGGGCTTCACACATTGTACCCATGTCAGGAATCGAACCCGGGTCTTCGGCGTGGCGAGCGAATGCTTTAACCACTAGGCTACCCGACCGCCCCCTTCACTTGGTAGATGATTACATGTTTTCACAGTGTTTCAGTATGTCATCCAAGTATACTTTTCTGCTGCTGATGTGTGATACTTTTCTGCTGCTGATGTGTGATACTTTTCCACTTATAGGAGCGTAGATCCAGACATACTTTCCTGGCAGCAACCTTGGATGTTCCAACCATCTTCTCATTCTGGTCAAACACCTCAATACCTTCCGACAGCTCAAAGTTCCTCATGAGGAGAACATTGCAGGTGCTGGCTGTGGCTGAATAACAGAGAAAGGGACATGCTTCAATAGAATACTGGTAATTATACACAATGCTCCAATGCAATCTGTAAAGAAAGTGAACAATCAGTTTAATTTCAGCCAATGAATCATTAACATGTATCACTATTTTCAAGCACTGACATCAGAAATTGCACTCTCATATATTGGCGATACAATAAAGAACATTAACAATCATTATGTCACAAAATACCTACCTACTCCTGGGAATTAACTTTTTTATGATTGTTTTGTTTGTTTGTTGTTTAACACCGCACTCAGCAATATTCCAGCTATATGACGGCGGTCTGTAAAATAATCGAGTCTGGACCAGACAATCCAGTGATTGACATCATGAGCATCGATCCGTGCAATTGGGATCGATGACATGTATCAACCAAGTCAGCGAGCCTGACCACCCGATCCCGTTAGTTGCCTTTTACGACAAGTATAGTCGCCTTTTACGGCAAGTATGGGTTGCTGAAGACCTATTCTACACAGGAATCTTCACGGGTCACTTTTATATGAGCACATGAGACATACCTACCTACAGCTGGAAAGGGAATAAATTTCTGTATCAGCAGTTTTGTGGCTGGTCTGAACTTGTGAGCTTTCCTTATCAGCAGATTCAGACCTACCTGAGGAGAGAATGAACGGTTCAGACATCTGTGAGAGTCTAGGATAAATACATGGAGATTATCCCTCGTCAATGTCCATACCTTGTAGGGCATCTTCCCAAGACCCCAAGATATGGCCAGATACTGGAAAAACATGCCAAAAACAGTCTCCATTTCATTGGAAGCAGTCATAAAATATCTTGATAGAGTCATTTTCCACAATAACGCTACTCATATTGTCAACAGTTGAATGTCCATTACTCTATGTTTACAGACTTTAGTTTGAAATAGGGTAACAATATGTTTTTTAACAAGTCAGCTTTGAAGTAACTAGAATATTGCTGACAGTGGCATTATACAACAAACTAGTCATTATCAGGACATTGAAAATCTGCAAGTGGAGGAAGGGAGACGACTGCAACCAAACTCACGGCGATAGATAAAGCACTTGTGACAGCGCCGCAGTAGCCAATCAGGAACCTGGATGTAGGAGTTTCCTGGAATTGAAAGATACTTTATTGTATACCAGATTTCAAAACTGATTTTGATTTCCTCATATCAAAATTACATTTCATTAATTAATTCTTATCTTACTGATGAATGAACTTAAGCAGGTGATTAAAACATTTCTTAGAAGTAAACAAAATTTTGATAATCTTCATTGTTGAAATATTTAACCATGCGAAGGCCTGGTTTTTTATTTCTCGTCTTCCAGTGTTTCTAGGCAAGATGCAAGATGCGAGAGACAGCTGCAAAATAGTGTCACAGCACTGTAGCTCAGTTGGGTAAAAAGTCAACAAAGTCTAAAATGTCACCAAAGTTAGCCACTAAAAATATTTTCTTCATAAATACTGAGGACTAAAAGCTTAAGTTGAAGCGCAAACCAAAGTCAAAATTTCAAATATCGCCAAAAAACAGAATACATATGTTTAGCCCCACTACTGACAACACTTGACTAATCCTCATTACATTTTGAAGACAAAAAAATCCTGGGAAATAGCTTATTCAATATGGCCGCTGTGGCAGACATATTGAAAATCAGATTCAAGATTCAAAATCATTGGTGAAGAGGTTTCTGAGATTATGATGCTATAACTGGTATAAGCTCACTTGGGGGCACGGGTGGCCCAGTCGTCTGAGGCACTGCAATTCGCTGTGCAGAGATGCGTCCCTTGGGCACGCCAGAAACCTATGATTGTGGGTTTGAATCCCGGTTCGCCCCGATTATGTTTCTAGGTTTGTCAGCACCATACCCGAGCTCGTAAGTTTCACCAAAGTGGTAAAACGTCTGAGACTTGCATCACTTCGGGCTTTCTTCCCACATTAAGCTGACACATCATGATATAACTGGAATACTGTTAAAAACGGTGTTAAACCCAACTCCCTCACTCACTCACAATAAGCTCACTTGAATTTCAGTCAGTGAACCAAAAATGGCAAGCGAAAATTCAAACACTAACTACAAGGATAGAGATTGTTGAGCAATTAACGGATGTCATGAGTTGACTTCAAATTTCAGACTTGGTGAGCTAAAACTGATTTGGCTATACTAAATTATCATGTACTGAAAGTACACAAATGTTTATCAGTTGTACCAAGTCTGGACTATTCAAAAACTTATAATTTCAAATTTTAGTGTAAATGTCCAAAGTCTTCTTCCTCTAGCGATTTCTATTTCTAAATGTGTTTTGTTTCTTTTAACACATTTATCTGATATTATTTGTTTTCATATCATTTTATTACCTTAGTGGCATTTCTATTACAGAAGTTAATACCGGCGTTGTGACTCTGGTTCAACCACTGCCAGAAAATGGTGTGGAACATGGAGGGGTTGGGCAGCAGAAGGCCGGTTACCTGCACAACAAACAACAGTTGTAAGGGGAACGGTATTAATGAAGGTCACAGTAAACAAACATGTGTATTACAAATGGCTAGACAACAAAACAAATAAAAAGAATTGTAATTTCACAGAGGTTTAAAGCATTCATTGAATGAAGCAGTCATAAAATATCATGAAAGAACTGTTTGATTGGCATTTCTTGAAGTTGGTAAGTGACAATAAAGACAAGTTGCTGATAATCCCTATCATGCATACTCTTATGCTGTTATGATTATTAGATGTATATAAGGCTGAAATGTGCTGTCTGACTTCACCTTTACTGGACAATGGTATAAGGATCTATATACGTCACATCTTAATAGAATAGAGAAGTTGTCATCCATATCTTGTCTTAGCTGTCCTGAAAGAGTCAGCAATATCACGGCAGCCAGACAACCGAGTGAGTGAGTGAGTGAGTGAGTGAGTGAGTGAGTGAGTGAGTGAGTGAGTGATAGTGAGTGAGTGAGTGAGTGAGTGAGTGAGTGAGTGAGTGAGTGATAGCTAAACTTTAAAAGTCACATCAACAATATGTCAGTCCTATTAAGACAAAAACTTTTCATATTCCCTATTATATGAAAATCCTGTCAATAACAGAGAGTAAAATAACCAGTATCATTATAAAAATATTCATTTAAACAATTTAAGTTGTGGTAAATATGGAGGTATAGTTTTGACTTACGATAGGAGCTCCAAAAGGGACATTCCCTGAAAAATAACCAATCACATGTACTTCATTGTACCCAGTTCAGGTAGAGACATGTGCCTGACCTCCCAATATTGATGGCTACAACTGCCAAATCAACAGGAATATGATGACTACAACATTTCCCAGTATTCTAAAAGAACAGTCAGCAGTAATGGGCATAAAATGATCTGGGAACAGAATTGGATTCCTGATTATGAATCAACAACAACATATGGCCTCAGGGTGGATCACATCTTCCCGAGGCAAGTGAGTTAACTGACTATAAAAGTCCAGTTTCCGCCCTTGCCGAACTAGGCTGGTATTATGGAGTTACATTTTGGCTGGACTAAAGAGTCTATGCATAGTCCAATCAAAATCGTGCACCAAAATCGAAATCCGGTTCGTGAAGTGTCATGCAGATTTCGATCGACTGCAGGATTTGCAAAGCATGTGCACCGCTAACTCGCTGTCAACAGATATTTTCTAAATCTTTTCAAGTTTTTAATCAAGGTGCTCACGTGATTTGATGCACTTCGCGATGTAAGACTCGTTTTATCACAATATAGATCTTGATTATCGATTAGATCGTCTTGACTGGGCGCCACCGTTTTGTTTGAAGCAAATGGAAGTGATACCAGAGGTTGAATCTGATTGGTCAATAGGAGAGGCATAGAAAGGACACAACTCGTAATAGCCACTGGTAGCGCTACGATTGAGCCCAGGAATTCCTGCCTAGTTCGGCAAGGGTGGAAACTGGACTTTTAAAGGCAGTTAACTCTCCTGCCTGGGGAAGATGGGTGGATCATGGACTTACCTGACATACGGAACGGCATGAAGATCTTCTCTCCTGTGTCAGGATGGATCATGACTTACCTGACATACGGAACGGCATGAAGATCTTCTTTCCTGAGTCTGGATGGATCATGACTTACCTGACATACGGAACGGCATGAAGATCTTCTCTCCTGTGTCAGGGTGGATCATGGACTGAAAGAAACACAATATAAGTAGGTATAATGTGTCTTTCTGTTCAATATCAAATTTAGACTGCAAATAAAATGAAGAATACTTCACCTGTTTAATTTTCTGAGCTTCCCAGAGTTGCTTGTCCGTAGTGGTGGAGTTGAGGTTGCCATGACGATAGTCCTTTAGCAGAGTCACTGAAGCCTGCAGTTTAGCCTGGAACACAGGAAGTAGGAGATGTAATCTGGGTAGATACAATAGGGAATGAAGGTATTCCTTGCTCCCTCCTCTCACACTGTTTCCTTGCCAACAGAAGGCGGTGGGGTAGCCTAGTGGTTAAAGCTTTCGCTCATCATACGGAAGGCCCGGGTTCGATTCTCAACATAGGTACAATGTGTGAAGCCCATATCTGGTGCTTCCACTGAATAAAAGCAGGAGAAAAGCTTACTTACTCAGTCAAGTAAGTCTGCAACAGTCCATCTATATGATAGCATGATAGCATGAGCAACAATCCCTGCAATTGGGTCCGATGACAACCACCAAGGTCAGAGATTGTAGCCATCCAATCATTATCAGTTTTTTCTTTAGACAAGCATGGGATACTTGGGATCTAACCGGCCCCAGAATCCCACAGGGGGAGACAAGCATGAGTTGCTGGGGATCTAACCCGCCCCTGAATCCCACAGGGGGAGACAGGCATGGGATGCTGGGAATCTAACCGGCCCCTGAATCCCACAGGGGGAGACAAGCATGAGTTGCTGGGGATCTAACCGGTCCCAGAATCCCACAGCGGGAGACAAGCATGGGGTGCTGGGGATCTAACCGGCCCCTGAATCCCACAGGGGGAGACAAGCATTGGGTACTGGGGATCTAACCGGCCCCTGAATCCCACAGGGGGAGACAAGCATGGGGTGCTGGGGATCTAACCGGTCCCAGAATCCCACAGCGGGAGACAAGCATGGGGTGCTGGGGATCTAACCGGCCCCTGAATCCCACAGGGGGAGACAAGTATTGGGTACTGGGGATCTAACAGGCCCCTTAATCCCACAGGGGGAGACAAGCATTGGGTACTGGGGATCTAACCGGCCCCTGAATCACACAGGGGGAGACAAGTATTGGGTACTGGGGATCTAACCAGCCCCTGAATCCCACATGGGGAGACAAGTATTGGGTACTGGGGATCTAACTGGCCCCTGAATCCCACAGGGGGAGAAAAGTATTTGGTACTGGGGATCTAACCGGCCCCAGAATCCCACAGGGGGAGACAAGCATGGGGTGCTGGGGATCTAACCAGCCCCTGAATCCCACAGGGGGTGACAACTATTGGGTGCTGGGGATCTAACCGGCCCCTGAATCCCACAGGGGGAGACAAGTATTGGGTACTGGGGATCTAACCAGCCCCTGAATCCCACAGGGGGAGACAAGTATTGGAAACTGGGGATCTAACCGGCCCCTGAATCCCACAGGGGGAGACAAGTATTGGGTACTGGGGATCTATTCAGGCCCAGAATCCCACAGGTGGAGACAAGTATTGGGTGCTGGGGATCTAACTGGCTCCTGAATCCCACAGAGGGAGACAAGTATTGGGTACTGGGGATCTAACCGGCCACTGAATCCCACAGGGGGAGACAAGCATTGGGTACTTGGGATCTAACCGGCCCCTGAATCCCACAGGGGGAGACAAGCATGGGGTGCTGGGGATCTAACCGGCCCCTGAATCCCACAGGGGGAGACAAGTATTGGGTACTGGGGATCTAACCAGCCCCTGAATCCCACAGGGGGAGACAAGTATTGGGTACTGGGGATCTAATCGGCCCCAGAATCCCACAGGTAGAGACAAGTATTGGGTGCTGGGGATCTAACCGGCCCCTGAATCCCACAGGGGGAGACAAGTATTGGGTGCTGGGGATCTAACCGGCCCCTGAATCCCACAGGGGGAGACAAGTATTGGGTACTGGGGATCTAACCGGCCCCTGAATCCCACATGGGGAGACAAATATTGGATACTGGGGATCTAACCGGCCCCTGAATCCCACAGGGGGAGACAAGCATGGGGTAATGGGGATCTAACCGGCCCCAGAATCCCACAGGTGGAGACAAGTATCTGGTGCTGGGAACTAACCTGCCCCTGAATCCCACAGGGGGAGACAAGTATTGGGTACTGGGGATCTAACTGGCCCCTGAATCCCACAGGGGGAGACAAGTATTGGGTACTGGGGATCTAACCGGCCCCTGTATCCCACAGGAGAAGACAAGTACTGTTTTGGACCTGGACGGCCATGCATGAAGTACAAAGAGGAGAGGCTAAAATTGCTTTTGGTGCTTGTGCACCTACCTCTGTCGTGAAGAGTGTCCGTGGATCTAACACGTCAATGAAGTGGCGCAGTCGGCCCAGGTAGGTACCCTGCAATTATCACCATAATACTCAAAATAAGATTAGGCATCAAACTCAAACATTCGTTGAAATTCTGACTCACAGATTCACTCATGGACTCACAGCCTCACTCATGGACTCATAGACTCACTCATGGACTCACAGTTTCACTCATGGACTCACAGACTCACTCATGGACTCACAGACTCACTCATGGACTCACAGATTCACTCATGGACTCACAGACTCACTCTTGGACTCACAGACTCATTCATGGACTCACAGACTCACTCATGGACTCACAGACTCACTCATGGACTCACAGACTAACTCATGGACTCACAGACTCACTCATGGACTCACAGACTCACTCATGGACTCACAGACTCACTCATGGACTCAGAAACTAACTCATGGACTCACAGATTCAGTCATGGACTCACAGACTCAATCTTGGACTCACAGACTCACTCATGGACTCACAAACTCATTCATGGACTCACAGACTCACTCATGGACTCACAGACTCACTCATGGACTCACAGGCTCACTCATGGACTCACAGGCTCACTCATGGACTCACAGACTCACTCATGGACTCACAGGCTCACTCATGGACTCACAGACTCACTCGTGGACTCACAGACTCACTCATGGACTCAGAAACTAACTCATGGACTCACAGATTCAGTCATGGACTCACAGATTCACTCATGGACTCACAGACTCACTCATGGACTCACAGACTCACTCATGGACTCAAAGACTCACTCATGGACTAACGGACTCACTCATGGACTCACAGACTTACTCATGGACACCACAGACTCACTCTTGGACTCGCAGACTCACTCATGGACTCACAGACTCACTCATGGACTCACAGACTCACTCATGGACTCAGAAACTAACTCATGGACTCATGGATTCAGTCATGGACTCACAAATTCACTCATGGACTCACAGACTCACTCATGGACTCACAGACTCACTCATGGACTCACCGTCTCACTCATGGACTCACAGACTCACTCATGGACTCACAGACTCACTCAGTGACTCACAGACTCACTCATGGACTCACAGACTCACTCATGGACTCACAGACTCACTCATGGACTCACAGTCTCACTCAGTGACTCAGAAACTCACTCATTGACTCACAGACTCACTCATGGACTCACAGACTCAATCAGTGACTCACAGACTCACTCATGGACTCACAGACTCACTCATGGACTCACAGACTCACTCATGGACTCACAGACTCACTCATGGACTCACAGACTCACTCATTGACTCAGAAACTAACTCATGGACTCATGGATTCAGTCATGGACTCACAAATTCACTCATGGACTCACAGACTCACTCTTGGACTCACAGACTCACTCATGGACTCACAGTCTCACTCAGTGACTCAGAAACTCACTCATGGACTCACAGACTCACTCATGGACTCACAGACTCACTCATGGACTCACAGACTCACTCATGGACTCACAGTCTCACTCAGTGACTCAGAAACTCACTCATGGACTCACAGACTCACTCATGGACTCACAGACTCACTCATGGACTCACAGACTCACTCATGGACTCACAGGCTCACTCATGGACTCACAGACTCACTCTTGAACTCACAGACTCACTCATGGACTCACAGACTCAGAAACTCACATACTCACGGACTCACTCATTCACACAAACCCATCACAAACCTTACAATACCATCCATATTCTCAAAACCATTCTTCAGCCACAGCAACACCCTGAAGGTACACACACACACAAACACACAAACAGCCTTTGCTCTTACAAAAAGAACAGTAGTTCTATCGCCTGAACTAACGTAGCTCACATGATTGCCCTGTTAACACAGGTCATAGACAAGTACAAGGGGTCCCCTCGTTTGGTCAATTTGATTCACCTGCCACTTGGAGCATGAAGTTGTCACAGGCTATCCAAGTAAATATATCATTTGATTCATTCAAATATATTAAAAATACATGTAGCTATATATATTATGATTGCTGTATTCATAGTTGCACCAGTATCCATTTTATCCCACGTTATTTTATCTGAATATTGTTTAACACCTTCTGTTTACTTTATATGTATTTTTGTTCATTTATTCATCAATTGTTTTATCTTACATAAATAGGCCTACATTCATTTGTTTAACATTCCCTCACATTCCTTGGTGGATAGCATTTGTCATATCTAACTAGTCCACAGGTTATTTGGGACTAGTAGCTTATGTAACATAACTAGATTTGGGGAGCAAACACTACTAGTCCCTATAAATTTTCACGTCTCAGACTATCAGATTAGTGGCCATATTTTCTATCCCTGTCACATTGTATTTTGCAACAAATACACTTCTACATGTAGAAACAGTTTTTAAAGTACAGCAAACTACGGATATAACGAGCTCATTGAGACCACTAATTTTAATTTGTTATAACCGTAGTTCGTTATAAGCATATATATATATACAGAATATACAGCAAATGGACGGGACCCAAAAACAGTTCGTTATATCCGTCAGTTCGTTATAAGGGTGTTCATTATAAACGTAGTTTGCTGTATTTAAAGTCAGCATATCAATTGAGATACCCCGCCTTTCAAATCAATATCAGAAGTCTCTTAAAGAACGCATCAGTTGTTGATCATGCAAATTGTCAATTTGAACTAGATATAACATAACACTGAAAGAAATGTCTATACTCACTTGATCATATCTGGGGCTGTTGAGTTTGAAAGGAGGGTACCCCTCGCTCGCCATCGCCCTGCCCATGGTCCTGTCATCTATCTCACTGTGACACAGTTTGTAAACTGGCGGGTCACGCGAGATGTGAACAGGTGCGCGGTGACAGTTGCCTCCCTTTGACCGTTGGGGCGTGATGTTAAACGAAGGAATTTTTCGTTGCACATTCGCTTTACTCGAGCGTTCACTATATAACTGAATGTAATAAACGCCATTTTATAACCTCAGACAACATCCATATACAAATCATAATATAGTTATTGATATACATGTAATAGAATTTGTGCAATATATTTTATGTCAACACAAAGGTTGGCAACTGAATATGTGTCAAGTTGTTTTATGTAACATTCACCGAAATGGGTCAGCAACATTATGGAACGTGAGAATGTTTATGTAAGGTTGTCGAAACATTGTGTAACTTAATTTCAAATGGAGGTCGTCTTATGCGCCAATTCGCTGCACGCCAGAAACGTATGATCGTGGGTTCGAATCCCGGTTCGCCCCGATTATGCTTCTAGGTTTGTCGGCACCATATCCGAGCTCGTGGGTTTCAAGTGGTAAACGTCAGACCTGCATCACTTCGGGCCTTCCTCCCACATTAAGCTGGCACGCGGCGATAAACCCAACTCACTCTCTCTCTCACTCACTCACTCACTCACAATAAATGACAGATTGACTCACCGGAATTTGAATCAGTAATGATAACACGAAAATGAAATTAACACTAAATATATTTAATATAGAATTTTATATATTTATAGTTGAAACAATTTATTGAATTATTATTAATTGCCTAAATGTTTCAGCGTTACAAATTCTTTTGCATTTCTGTTACACAGGGAGTTTATCTGTTATGGAGTATTTATATTGTCTTGATTTGATATTATTCCAAAATGTTGTTCAGAAAAACTATCATCATCATCATCATCATCATGGATTCAGGTGAGATGGAGTTAATAGCTTTCGCTATTTCGTAAATATTATTCCGAAATGTTGTTCAGTAAACAATCAGCAGCAGCAAAAGCAGCATAATAATACTCATCATCATCATCATCATCATCATCATAGTCGCAGTTGAGATGGAGTTAATAGCTTTCGCTATTTCGTACTTGGGGGTACACTCTGAGAATCCCATCCCTTACCCAGATGAAATACTGCTACGGATGCGTCCTTATAATTATCCCGTAGTGTTTCAGAATGCGTTGCTACAGCAACTAATTTTGAAAACAAATCATTGCAGTCTACAAATCTCTGTATCTATTCTGTGTTTTAAATTGCATCAAAATGTATTTATTGATTTCATAAAGTCGGCATTGTAAATATCACAAAATAATTATTGATATAGAATCTCACCGAGTGACTTTTGTTATCAAATATATCAACACGAGTTGACAACAGTTCAAACGTCGATGCTTGTCGAGTAGCTTTAAACTTTTATTGACGAGTGTTGATATATTTGATATCAAAAGACACTTGGTTAAGATTCTATTTATCATCCAAGATCATTCCTCCAACTTTTTCAGTTTATAAACAGTAATAAGAGTGCCATGAGTGTAAAAAGTACAGCTCGCAAGCTTCAGTGGCTGAGATATTGGTAATGTCATTTGTTTGGGACGCCATAGTAACCATGCAATGACGCCACAATTGCGTCTGCAAAGCATTGTGGTGCAATATCATTGTAGCGATATCTCCCAAGAGATATCGTTTTAGTACTTGCCCGTGAAGAGATCACCCGTTTGATAAACATACAGCTCTATTACACATTGTGTAATACCAAAACGCGTGCTTATGTACTCTCGAAACACGTTTCACGAACAAATATTGAAAGCTCTCAACATCCCTTGGCTTATTCAACGACATTGCTTGTGGAGTTGATAGAACACTGAGAGGAGCTTATACACACTCGATGACCCCAGCAACCGTGTTGCTAGGATGACGTCACATGGCATTGTTTCGCCGATGGATCTTGCAACAAAATTCCACGTTATTGTAAACTTTGAGGTGCAAACAGTCGTTAGTCTGTTAAAGTATGTGAGTTGCGATAGTCTTAGCCCTACGATATTTTTTTGAATTCTAAAGGTTGACCGTTGTATGGTATTAAATTCATACGTTTCAACTTTTGACGTGTTTGAAGTATTATTCTCTTAAACTCAATTGGACTATGCCGTGGATCGTGTAAGTGTCAGCCTATTCATACTTAACGGTATAATTCTAAAAACGTTATAAAAGGCAACTGAAGTAATAAATAAAATACTAAACTCGCTCCCGTGTAAAACCAATTTTATGAAACTCGTGAATAGATGTAGTGTCTGATTCGCTTTCGCTCGTCAGATACCACAACTATTCACTCGTTTCATAAAATTGGTATTACACGGGAGCTCGTTTAGAATTCTATATTTATCTCACCCTAGCGTTATTTCCTATATAAGCCAGTTTGGGATGACACAAAAAATATACACCTAACCCTGGTAACATAAATCATGTGGGGCGGAGGCTGCTGGAAGGGATCCAGCGCAAACCTGTCCACGTCCGGTGTTTATCTCGTGTACAAGTACTATCTGCCCTTGTGACCGCCTCCGTGGTCTAGTGGTAGAACGTCTAGTGGTAGAAGGCCCGGGGTTCGATCCCCGGCCGCGTCATACCAAAAGACGTTTAAAGATGGTACTTGTTGTTACCCTATCTGCCCTAGTCAAAATTCAAACGGCCAAATGAGCATATTACCTGGAAAAGGGTTAAGCACCAGCACCCACTTTAATTATCCTGATCGTGAGTGTACCCTTTTGGAAATATCTGCGCATTGACATTGATCTCATTGATCTCAAGCCACCGATACCGGCTTCACCCCACGCATGTCGTAGAGCCGACTAAAATATGCCCCAGGTAAGATTCTGTTGAATTTTAGTCGTGATTAGGTTGACGATGTGAAGATTTTACGAGCACTTCCTGAGCGTCGATCACAATGCCACACAACGCTGTACACGTACAGGATATATACCATGGGATATATACCGTTACTTGTACACTCTGGAAAATATGTTTAATTCAAGAAGTTTGGATTATTTTACCGTTCTTGTTTTAAAATTATTGTGCCTAATCGATAAGAGTGAGTGAGTAAGTATGGTTTTACGCCGCTTTTAGCAATATTCCAGCAATATCACGGCGGGGGACACCAGAAATGGGCTTCACACATTGTACCCATGTCGGGAATCGAACCCGGGTTTCCACGTGACGAGCGAACGCTTTAACTACTAGGCTACCCAACCGCCCCCTAATCGATAAGAAGACACATGTGCCCCACGCATTTATAAATTGTCAGTATATTTATTTGTTTTAACTATGACAACATTTTTGTTGTATTTCAAAGCTTGACTGAGTAGGACGGTTGAACTCTGCCTAATGTAACTGATCACGTGAACAAGGATAGGCAATTACCTAACTGTTAAAATCATAACAAAAAAATCATTTTTGTAAAATATTTGGTGTCAAGATGACATTGTTAGGAATTTAGACTATGCATAGAGGATTTTATAGTAGTATATTCAACATTCAATTTTCCTTATGTTTTCAGCATAACTGTAGCGTCGAGACAAGTTTCATAGTTTATGGCTACAAATTACAACCTCCTATAAAATTAGATGTTTGGCCTCCATCGACAGACATGTATATCACTCTCGGGTGCTTGGATTGTAAGGAGTTTATATTCGATAGCGATTAACCAATATGCTCCAAGTTGTTCCTATATATATGCCTACTTTGTCTGAAAACTCGAAATACCTAATCATATCAAACTAGTTTTTTGACACAAAAATAATGTTAAACTTAATCCAAACTGGTTACAGCCAACATAAAACTTCAAGATAAAGAGCTAACTTTGTTGCCTGCTTTTTTGGTATATGGTCTAAGGGAGGTAACTCTAAACACGCAGGTGCGGGCAGCGTTGTCACGTGACTGCTTAGTTTACACTCACCCTCCACATGACAAGTTGAGGCGAATGTGACAGAAGCTGGACGATGGGGAGTTTGCAGAAAGCCGTGGCCAGCGAAGGATACCCTCCTTTCAAGCTTAACAGCCCGAAATATGACCAGGTGACCTATAGATTGTGTCGACCGTCCTTACATTCAATGTCATCCATTGCACTTGAGCTACTCAGCAAAACTGTGAATGGCTCCATTACTCGCTGTTGTACCGTAAACGGTCAAATAAGGTCACCAAATTATGTCATAATGACCCGTGCATTGTTTTGAATGTCTTTAATTTTCACATCGTGGGTTTTTTGGGGGGAAATATGTGAAATTCTCTTTTCGCCGAATTAACATTTTTTATGTGTTTATGAAACAAAGTAAGCTTATTGAATCTACATGAAATTTATGCTGAGTAATGCTTCATGTGCTTTTTAGGTCACCTCACATTTTTTCTCTTTTTTTTTCACATGGAAATGTCAACATGGTTTTGAATTGATTATTATTCATTAGTGTTCACTGACAATTATTTTTATTCTGGTCATATGCCTATGGTTATTATTGTAGAGATTTTTTATAAGTTGATCACTTTTTGTTCCCAGAACAGTATTTTTAATGTAGGCCATATAGAGAATCTCACCCTTGTGGCTTTTGATATCAAATATATCAACACAAGTCAATAAATATAATAACTCTATGGCTTGCCGTGTGTTGACATGCTTGATGGCAGAAGACACAATTTAAGGGAATATTTAGTTTATCATCCAAAATCATTCTTCCTAATCGTCTTAGTTTTAAACACAGTAATAACCAGTATCTTGAGTTTAGAGCAAACTAGCTTCAGTGGCAGAGAGATGAGTGATGTCATGGTAACCAGTGATGTCCCAATGTTTCATTGTAGCAGTATCTCCAGGGAGATATTGGTTGATCTCACACAAGGACAGTTTTGGTTGATAATTGATGATACAACAGACTTCAGATGCAGAAGTTTGTCATCATTAGCATAGAGATTTACATATGAATCGTGACTTTTATGCTTTCAGCATTTTGTGGATGTAGAGCTGCAGTTTTCCAGTTTTCCAGATACTCTTTCAGTAAAAAGTACTGCTAACAGCCTCAGTAGCAGAGCCATTAGTGATGTCATTTGATTGTGACATTGTAACCAATGACATCACAATGGTCTACAAAGCATTGTGATGCAATTTCATTGCCGCAATATCTACAATGTAGATATCGCTTGATCTCACTCAAGCCATATCTCCTGTGGGTGCCACAATGGTCTACAAAGCATTGTGATGCAATTTCATTGCCGCAATATCTACAATGTAGATATCGCTTGATCTCACCCAAGCCATATCTCCTGTGGGAGCCAGTTTTGGATAATAAACATGTTTATTTACTATATCCTGCCTACCCACCTGTGTAACAGCGCTGTACATGCGCTAGAACATGTTGTGAAACCTCACTTCAGCACCAGTTGTGCACGTATTATTAGGTTTCACAACGTGTTCTAGCGCATGTACAGCGCTGTTACACCTCACTTCAGTACCACCAGTTGTGCACGTATTATTTGCTGTTAATGTCATCATAACCTGTAAATTTGTTTAGAAAGCTTGTTGAATGATTGCAGTGAGCTTGAATAAGGACACAAGGTGAACAACAATACAGTTGTAAATGACTTAGATACCAGTAACCAGATTGTGTTTGCGATGTAGAGATAAGGTCACCTGTAAAAATAACATGCTAAATTGAAGTTGGAAGTGAAGGATTTTGAAGTAAATGGGGAGACTGATTATTTTGCTCAAAATTGTAAAAACCCATTAAATTTCTATTTTCGGAAATTAAGAAGAAGTTAAACGTTTCAGTCAGTGCAATAATCATGATAATGCAAAACTATAAACATCAACATAAGTACAGCCTCTTCCTTGTTACTCACAAACTTAGGCCACACATTTTTTATTTTTCATTTCATGGGCCGACCGCTCCTACTGAAAAGCAGCAGGAAAAGAGATAAATTAAACATAAAAATATTTATTTTATTATATGTCACCCGCTAGTGATATAGACCCTCTTATATAATAAAAAATGTTATATATATAATTTCCATGTCTACATCACTATCAGTGATTCAAGAGGCTAGCTGCAGTTTTAACTCCATGGCATAATGATTTTGAAATAAATAAATAATTAATTTCATTTCTACAAAGCCATGACATTAATTATGATAATAACATAAGCATGTTTTCTTGAATTTTAGAATTTGTTCCGACATTTGCTGCAGACTTGGGTAATTAAGAACACTTCACTGGCACTCTATTTCTTATTCATAGAATTTCAAACATGGCTTTGATTAATTTTGAAATTTAAAACATGTATGAGACAGTCTAAGTGCCTTGTAAACTGTATACATTCTTCTCAGACCTCTGTCCATTACTATATGTTAAATATCTTGTCAGTATGGATAGAACAGTTAATAAATTATCAAATAATTGACTTATTGAATGCTTTCAAAATATTGGAACGCTTTTAAATGCTATTATGAAACATACAGTCTAATTAGCAATGAATGATATAAATAAAACAAATATCCATTTATTGATCGAGTTAGCACATATTTTCAGATTATCAAACATTATCTTTGATTCAAGCCTGATAGGCATGATATTATTTTATTAATAGATATGAAGTAATATAACGCACTGACTCGCAGATTCTTGCTGTGGAATAATTGTCAGCTACAAATCAAATTAGCACATTTTGTTTCATGCTAACATTGATTCTGCTTTTGAAATTACCCAATAATAATGATGATGATGATGATTATAATAATAATGCACTTGTATAGCGCTTTCCAGCTACAATCCCTGTCCCATCCTTTCCTATTTCAGAATCAAATCCTGTTCTGTTTGGTCTATATCAGTCTACTCAGTGTGACTTAATGCAATTTAAGATATCTGTGTATCAAAAACGAACCCATTGTATATCGTCATTACTATATGGACCACAATCCAGCCCTTAGCACAGAGCTATCTGAACGCTTATGTTTACGATGTACGTGTTTGTAGTTTAACTACACAACCAGCAACATTCCAGCTGTATGATGGTAGCCTGTAAATAATCAAGGCTGGACCACCCAATCCGGTGATTGATATTGTGAGCAGCAATCCACACCATCAGGGTACAATCAGGCCATCAACCAAGTCGCCAAGCCAGGCGATCCATTAAATCGCCTCTTACAGTTACAACCTGCATGGGAACCAATCGTAACCCCGAATCCCCGCAGGGTGTGTTTACGTTTACAAGGATATGTACGGTAGGATGTGACATTTCACAGGTGCCAGTTCACTGAGACCAGGCCTGCATTTCCCATAATAAGGAAGCCATCAGTCCGACACTGTGGTGACCTATTGTCAGACATGGCATAGATACATACATACATACCAGCAAACTGCATACTATCAGAAGGACCCCGCACTGACCGGTTCAATCCTGTGAGCTCTGGCTGCTTCATCTTTTGTTTTCTACTACTGTAAATCTTGAAATTAACGTGAGCGTGAATTAAATACGAAAAATGCGAGTGGTCTTTTTTCGTATAAATGAAACTTCACATTTTTGTCTCCAAAATGAATATCAACATCAAGACGGCCTCACTGCACACTTTGGATAGCGGAAATACCAACTTGAATATTTACACAAACATGTTTTATTGAGCAGCAGTTGTAACAAGTACATGACAATGTCATTTAAGGAATAGGAATTACATAATAGGCATCCGGTGAGTTATCACTGTGGGGGTCAAGAGTTCTACCCACTCGTGTCAAACTAGGCATCAATGACCACTCCAATCCATGAACTGTTGTTGGTTCAGTTATATTATTGCCTTTGAATTTCCTTAATGCCAGTCAACAGAATAAACATATAAGCTGTGTGTTGTTTTAGGAAAACACTGTTTATTGTTATTGCGGATGTGCCTTACTCAGTGCTAATAAGCGGTGCTATTTGCTGTTTGATTGGATTAAGGTAGAGTTGGATTAAGGTAAGGATATGCATCATTCCACTGGGGGTGGTGTGGGGGAGTCGCATTGATTTTGAGTCGCATTTTTGGCTTGGGGTCAGCAGTGGTATTAATTTGGAGACGCATTTTTTTCAAGATTTACAGTATTTCTGAAAATGTTTTATAAAACCCTGGTGTTTAATAGATTTACAATGTGAATACATATTCGCACATTGTCAGAATTAATTGTTATTTAATCGTTTAAAGTGCAAGTGTCATGAAAAATAGTAATCGATTTGTCTTGCATCATTATGTAGCCGGTATGATGCACAATTTGATGACCGAGAATGCAGTGTGAAAATGTAAATTTAGCACTGTTGCCCTTCGTTAAATGTACGTATTTTGAGGTCTGCATTTGTAACAACCCAAACATATCTTACAAGCACTAACAAGGAGGTGTGGCTCAATAAGCACAGCTGGATAGGCCTGCAGGCACAATGGATATTTCCACCAGCTAATACACAGAATATACGTGATCGTTTCATTAGTTGAAGGGAGACCTGTGTTGTATATACAATGATCTCTCACTACAACGCTACCTTCGGGGTCCAAATAATTGAAGAGCGTTATAGACGATCGGTTTAACCGAGGTGGAGACGTAGGTGATAGATGACCAACAAAACAGTATACATGCTCTGCCTACCTAACACGATCTACGTTGCATGTTTCAGAGTTTAAAAAAAGATTAGTATAGAAGTTGTTTATGATTCATAGTGCAAAAAAAGATTAATCAAGTATTAATATGGGCTTTCAAAAAAAGGATGGATTCCATGTATGACAAGAGTATGGCTAGTGAGGGCGTGTCAAGTAACCTTGTTTTAAAATCAGTGATATAATTTCAACATTGTACAATATTTTCTGTTTCAATTTTCAGGGCATGTAGTAGATATTTGCATAATTTAGACCAGCAGTCAGTCCAGGTATCATGAATCACTCAGCCTTGTGTATTGTGTAATATACCACATTAGCAAGCGACACAGAGTCTATATGACATGTCAATTCATGTTTGTTGTACTACATGTATTTCAAGACTGAAACGGGGACACATGTGGCCAAATTTTCTAATGCACCGCGATTCGCTGTGCAGAGTTCATCCCTTGGGCACGCCAGAAACCTATGATTGTGGGTTCGAATCCTGGTTCACCCCGATTATGTTTCTAGGTTTGTCAGCACCATACCCATGCTCGTGGGTTTCACTGAAGTGGTAAACGTCTGAGACCTGCATCACTTTGGGCTTTCCTGCCACATTAAGCTGACACGCCATGATAAAACTGGAATACTGTTAAAAGCGGCGTTAAACTCAACTCACTCACTCAAGACTGCAACAGGATATTGTGATTTGGAGAAAATAAACTAAACAAAATAACCAAGCTGTGTTTTGCAATCACTTATGATCTGCAGTCAGAGCTCTAGATAATCTTTTGGTTATTTGGGTATTTTAGTATTTTTTACCCATGGTTTTGATTTTTATTGGTTATCCACAATTTTTAGCGGGTAATCAAATTTCTTTTACCCACATATTTCTTGTAATTTTGATATTTTAACTTGACCTGTTTCATAACAATCCCTGTAAATCAATTAAACTAAATGAATAGTAGCTAACTCTTTTTACTGAATTTAACTGCCTGTAAATGAATTTCGTGATTGGCTTATACACAATCGTCTTATCAAACAGTTGTAGTATACGCATAAGTTCCTCAGAACCTAAGTGTCCTGGTGTGGCTGTCACTGGGTCTCAACCCAATGGAGCAGGACAGTGGTGTCAACCAGGTTATCTGTGGTTCCATTTGGGTCAACTGGCCAATATTGCTTGGAGAATGACCTCTTTAATCTAATATTCTAATATATCTAATATCTGAAATGCCCATCCCCCCCCCCCCCCCCTACAGATAAGGTTATTGACCTTCTAGGTAAACATGGAGCTCAGGTCAAACTTTGCTGTGCATGTTTATAGATGGTTGGGACAGTTCAGCCAGTATCAGTTGTTTTGTACAGCTACGAGATAGTTGGTGTGAGTTTGTAGTCAGATTGTCTCAGTTACACAGTACACATCTAGAACCAGACCGTGTCATGACCCAATGACCTAGTGAACAGTTATTCTGTTCAAACTAGTACCAGAATATCACATACTGAACTTGCATGCTCTCAAACATAAGTGTGATAGATCGCTCGTGCTTGTGCACAGTGCTTTTGCTTCACAACTTTCCAACAAGGGGGCGGTCGGGTAGCCTAGTGGTTAAAGCGTTCGCTCGTCACGCCAAAGACCCGGGTTCGATTCCCGACATGGGTACAATGTGTGAAGCCCACTTCTGGTATCCCCCGCCGTGATATTGCTGGAATATTGCTAAAAGTGGCGTAAAACCACACTCACTCACTCACTCACTTTCCAACAACAGCCTCCACAGACATGATAAACCACGACTGGCTGATTCTTTGTACTAAATTTCTCTGGGGAAATTCCTCCTTTGGAACACTTTTTATTAGGAAAATGTTACCAGGATACATTTGCACTGGCAAGGAACATTCATCATTTACACATGCATGCTAACACAGGCAGGCACCCACGCACGCACGCACGCACGCACGCACGCACGCACGCACACATATTGTGTTTATCCATATCAATACCTCCAGGTTGTTTGTATACATTGTGACATGGGTAGTCTTGACCCAACAAGGCAGCACCTAAAATGGTCATCTTTTGGTGTGGTTCTGATTATGACTGGAATTATTTAAATGCCTGCCTCTGAAACTACCCCACTACCCTTGGTTAGCTCATCTTACAAAGTATTGCATCTCTGAGCCTCATCTGTTCAGCTCCTCTTACAAAGTATTGCATCTCTGAGCCTCATCTGTTCAGCTCCTCTTACAAAGTATTGCATCTCTAAGCCTCATCTGTTCAGCTCCCCTTACAAAGTATTGCATCTCTAAGCCTCATCTGTTCAGCTCTTAAAAAGTATTGCATCTCTAAGCCTCATCTGTTCAGCTCCTCTTACAAAGTATTGCATCTCTAAGCCTCATTTGTTCAGCTACTCTTACAAAGTATTGCATCTCTAAGCCTCATGTGTTCAGCTCCTCTTACAAAGTTTTGGATCTCTAAGCCTCATCTGTTAGACTATGTGGATTGCATGTTATATATTTCTATATTTTCACTTCCAGGGCACTTTTCTTGGTCGACTGCGACACTTCGTAGATGTGATCGATCCGCTCACGCTGTTCACGACAGAGGTGAGTATCAGTGTTGTGTATACATATTGACAAGTAAAAATACTCTAATTGAGCTTTTAGTATCAGTGGTGATACATGGAAACTTTAGCACCATTAACCTTCCTAGTTTCCATTTAGGATAGGAGTGGTTGGGTAGCCTAGTGGTTAAAGCGTTTGCTCGTCACGCCAAAGACCCGGGTTCGATTCCCGACATGGGTACAATGTGTGAAGCCCATTTCTGGTGTCCCCCGCCGTGATATTGCTGGAATATTGCTAAAAGCGGCGTAAAACCATACTCATTCACTCACTCACTCCCATTTAGGATCATTTGTTTACATGAATACTAGCACTGTAGAGCAGAGCCATGGATTAAGGAAAGTCTAAGAGATCTGTTGGTCTTATGGAGGAATCAAACCATGGTACCAAAGTTGTCTGTTAAGAATATATTCTTGTTTTGAATGAGTATTTTGAAAACTGAATGGATAGGGAAGGAGGATGTTGTTGTTTTGTTATATTTCTCTATGGTAGGTGACCATGGTTACAAATCTGTAAATATAACTTGATTCTAACATACAACATGACATCTTGCTGCCAGCAGAATGAAGACACAAGGCAATGGTGGCCATTCCTCTGGGAATCTGGCACACTATAAATGGCATGGAATGTGCAAAAAGTTGGAATCTTGTGCAAAAATGAAACTTGCATTTAAAAAGGGTGTTTCTTAAAATACTAAATATTAACCTAACAGTTAAACCAGGATTGGGTACTCTCAATGTTGGATGAGAATGAATAGGTCCACTGTATCCTTAAGGAAATAATCTTACCTCCCTAGGCAAAGCTGCAGGCATCTACTAAGCTACTAGTTGACTTCAAACATGGCCGCCTTGAATCCTCAACTACAGACAAGCAACTCTGGGATGCACAGAAAATCAAGCAGGTAATCCACAAGTGTTATTGTGGGGGACATTTGTATTGAGTAGTATTGAATGGATAGATAATCCGTTAATGCCATTCTTTGGCTTGTAATAGGTTCATATATTTTTTCACCAAAAAAAATCAAAACAGCAAGACCATTAGATTATGGCAATACTCCAGATTAGTTGATTTCAAACAGTGACTCGTTCAACTGTTCCATATATATACACAACCCAAAGTAATCCAACTGCTTTACTTCTGAGTATACATTTAAATAAATACAGCAAAGCAGCAATTAAAACAACAAGTATAAGCAACCAGCTGGAATCAACTCATTCCATCGTAGTTCGGCTCGGATTTTTTCCAGCAACCCCTCGTTAATTGACCGGTGCAACCCTAATATCTAACACACACAACTATTGACAATAGTGATATTCTTCATGGACTTATTCCAAATGGCCAAGGGAAAATCTTTTGGCACATGTCGGGAAAAGATCAAAGTCACAGGATGGAAAAAAACAAATATGTATTTTTTATGCTGCACTGAAATAACGTGGCAACCTATAGGGTTTCATGGCAAACAGTGTAGAAAATATTCATCAATCTCAGTAAGTGTGTTTCTTCTTCAGTCCATGATCCACCCTGACACAGGAGAGAAGATCTTCATGCCGTTCCGTATGTCAGGTAAGTCCATGATCCACCCTGACATGGGAGAGAAGATCTTCTTGCCGTTCCGTATGTCAGGTAAGTCTATGATCCATCCTGACACAGGAGAGAAGATCTTCATGCAGTTCCGTATGTCAGGTAAGTCCATGATCCACCCTGACACTGGAGAGAAGATCTTCATGCCATTCCGTATGTCAGGTAAGTCCATGATCCACCCTGACACAGGAGAGAAGATCTTCATGCCGTTCTGTATGTCAGGTAAGTCATGATCCACCCTGACACAGGAGAGAAGATCTTCATGCCGTTCCGTATGTCAGGTAAGTCATGATCCATCCAGACTCAGGAGAGAAGATCTTGATGCCGTTCCGTATGTCAGGTAAGTCCATGATCCACCCTGACACTGGAGAGAAGATCTTCATGCCATTCCGTATGTCAGGTAAGTCCATGATCCATCCTGACACTGGAGAGAAGATCTTCATGCCATTCCGTATGTCAGGTAAGTCCATGATCCGTCCTGACACAGGAGAGAAGATCTTCATGCCATTCCGTATGTCAGGTAAGTCCATGATCCATCCTGACACAGGAGAGAAGATCTTGATGCCATTCCGTATGTCAGGTAAGTCCATGATCCATCCTGACACAGGAGAGAAGATCTTCATGCCGTTCCGTATGTCAGGTAAGTCCATGATCCACCCTGACACTGGAGAGAAGATCTTGATGCCGTTCCGTATGTCAGGTAAGTCCATGATCCATCCAGACACAGGAGAGAAGATCTCCATACCGTTCCGTATGTCAGGTAAGTCCATGATCCATCCTGACACAGGAGAGAAGATCTTCATGCCATTCCGTATGTCAGGTTAGTCCATGATCCATCCTGACACAGGAGAGAAGATCTTGATGCCGTTCCGTATGTCAGGTAAGTCCATGATCCACCCTGACACAGGAGAGAAGATCTTGATGCCGTTCCGTATGTCAGGTAAGTCCATGATCCACCCTGACACAGGAGAGAAGATCTTCATACCGTTCCGTATGTCAGGTAAGTCCATGATCCATCCAGACACTGGAGAGAAGAAAGGTCAGAGGTCAAGGTCATTACATCGTGTCAAAGGTCATCTGTGAGTTAATTGTGAAAAATAGTTGTATCATTTTTTCTCTTGCATACTGCAAGATTATAAGAGGATATCCCACAGTGGATTTATTTCTCAAACCTGGACATTTCTTTAGTACGGCAGTAAGAAGATCAAAGGTCAAGATCCCGAGATAGAAGTCTCGCTCAAAGATTTGTGTGTGTATCATTCAACTTTGTATTACCTTCGCCAGTTTATTGCTCTGCCTTGAAAACCTTTTAGTCAGAATAAGTCAAAGGTCAAGGTGAGCATTCATGGTTATCCAATTGTTAGTTTCGGAAGGATGGTTACCAATGCAGCCATGAAAACACTTGCAAACACATCTAGTCCTTCATTATATCTGTGAGATACACTGAGTTACCATGGAGATAACAGGTTAGAAAGGAAAGCATGTTTTGTTTCACTTTTTATAAACAAATATTATCTGAATGTCAATTTGTATTGCATTTCAGGATTTGTCCCATTTGGTGCTCCTATCGTAAGTTAATCTTCTGATAAAACTGTAAATTCTGTAAGGTCTAAGCCTCACATAGAAGGAATTGCGTAAATGTGATATATGATGTCATAAGAGCTGTTTGTACGAAAACTAAATTGTTTCGCTGTGACAGTAAAATAACCTTTGGTAAATGGATAAACTTGAAAGTCATGTAGTTCAAACCAGTCATGTTTCAGACAGTGTCTAATCAGTACTGTTCTCCCAACAAATAGTGTAGTTGTTTATGTAGTTACGTGGTAGGCCTTCTACTGCCCACCCTAGATTGTTCCAGACAGTATCCAAGCAGTACTGTTCCCCTAACAAATAGCGTTGTTTTTCATGTAGGTGGTGGGCCTTCTACTGTCCACCCTAGATTGTTCCAGACAGTATCCAAGCAGTACTGTTCCCCTAACAAATAGTTTTGTTTTTCATGTAGGTTGTGGGCCTTCTACTGCCCAACCCAAGCATGTTCCAAACAGTGTTCTGGCAATGGATTAACCAGAGTCACAACGCTTGTGTCAACTACTCCAACCGGAATGCCACCAAGGTAACTGTTTGAAAGAACTCAAATACAGTTTGACATCTTCAGTTTAATTGTTTTCTCATAGAACATTGAACTACTGTTTTGAGACTTTAATTGTCAATCTTATTTATATTCTTTTTGTTTTACAATTTACATTATGGTGTTCATTATTAAAGATTGATTTGAACTCTCTCATCAATAAGACAGATGAACTCTACAAATATTATTTTAATCTCTAAAAATTCTGTCTTTCCTTTTTAAAACAAAAAAACCCAGATATTTAGTTTATTGTTGGCTGTTTCAGGAAACCCCTACATCCAGGTTCTTAATGGGCTACTTTGGTGCTGTCACAAGTGCTGTCTCCATTGCTGTAAGAAATCATTGTAAACTCTAGCTTCTAAATCAAGAATTATTAAGGCATTGATTCAGCAATTTTTACGATATCTTTATGAGATTAATACAAATAATTGGTCATGGATTGTCAATTGTCCGTCCCAGGACTTATCTGTGTTTGGATGTCCTGGGCATGGAAAAACACTGTGATTGTGGGTTCGAATCCTGGTTCACCACGATTTTGTTTCTAGGTTTGTCAGCACCATACCCGTGTTCGTGGGTTTCATGAAAGTTTTACTCCAAGCTTTCCTCTTACATCGAGCTGACACACTTCCATATAACAGGAATTCTGTAATACTGTTCAAAACTGAAACATACCCAACTCACTCACTCTCACTCACTCACTCACTCACTCACTCACTCACTCACTCACTCACTCACTCACTCACTCCTGTGTTAACTTCAGGTTGATGTCAACCAGATCACAAATGGCTGCTATGATCGCAGTGAGGACATATGAGGTGGTGTGGTATTTTTAAACTGAAATCTTTATCTTCAGATATGTCTGTTCATGTTTTTTTTGTTATTTCTCCAGGTAGGTCTCAATTTGTTGATCAAGAAAGCACAGAATTTCAGTCCAGCCACCAAAACAATCATAAAGAAGTTTATTCCCTTCCCAGCTGTAGGTAGGTGTGTCTGATGTGCTGTTACAGCTGTAGGTAGTTGTGTCTGATGTGCTGATACAGCTGTAGGTAGGTGTGTCTGATGTGCTGATACAACTGTAGGTAGGTGTGTCTGATGTGCTGATACAGCTGTAGGTAGGTGTGTCTGATGTGCTGATACAGCTGTAGGTAGGTGTGTCTGATGTGCTGATACAGCTGTAGGTAGGTGTGTCTGATGTGCTGATACAGCTGTAGGTAGGTGTGTCTGATGTGCTGATACAGCTGTAGGTAGGTGTGTCTGATGTGCTGATACAGCTGTAGGTAGGTGTGTCTGATGTGCTGATACAGCTGTAGGTAGGTGTGTCTGATGTGTTGATACAGCTGTAGGTAGGTGTGTCTGATGTGTTGATACAGCTGTAGGTAGGTGTGTCTGATGTGTTGATACAGCTGTAGGTAGGTGTGTCTGATGTGTTGATACAACTGTAGGTAGGTGTGTCTGATGTGCTGATACAGCTGTAGGTAGGTGTGTCTGATGTGTTGATACAGCTGTAGGTAGGTGTGTCTGATGTGTTGATACAGCTGTAGGTAGGTGTGTCTGATGTGCTGATACAGCTGTAGGTAGGTGTGTCTGATGTGTCGATACAGCTGTAGGGAAGGTGTGTCTGATGTGTTGATACAGCTGTAGGTAGGTGTGTCTGATGTGCTGATACAGCTGTAGGTAGGTGTGTCTGATGTAGGTGTGTCTGATGTGCTGATACAGCTGTAGGGAAGGTGTGTCTGATGTGTTGATACAGCTGTAGGTAGGTGTGTCTGATGTGCTGATACAGCTGTAGGTAGGTGTGTCTGATGTGCTGATACAGCTGTAGGTAGGTGTGTCTGATGTGCTGATACAGCTGTAGGTAGGTGTGTCTGATGTGCTGATACAGCTGTAGGTAGGTGCGTCTGATGTGTTAATACAGCTGTAGGTAGGTATGTCTGATGTGTTGATACAGCTGTAGGTAGGTGTGTCTAATGTGCTGATACAGCTGTAGGTAGGTGTGTCTGATGTGCTGATACAGCTGTAGGTAGGTGTGTCTGATGTGCTGATACAGCTGTAGGTAGGTGTGTCTGATCTGTTGATACAGCTGTAGGTAGGTGTGTCTGATGTGTTGATACAGCTGTAGGTAGGTGTGTCTGATGTGCTGACTTGGTTGATGCATGTCATTGTATCCCTATTGTGTAGATCGATGCTCTTGATATCAATCACTGGATTGTCGGGTCCAGACTTCATTATTCACAGACCACCGTCATAAAGCTGGAATATTGCTGAGTGTGGCGTTAAGCAACAAAGAAACAAACAAAACATACAGTAATATATTCCCTTCCCTTTCCCTTAATAAAGTGTTTGAAAGGCATTTAATAATGAATAGTTTTTCCTTTTATTCTGTTATTCAGCCACAGCCAGCACCTGCAATGTTCTCCTCATGAGGAACTTTGAGCTGTCGGAAGGTATTGTGGTGTTCGACCAGAATGAGAAGATGGTTGGAACATCCAAGGTTGCTGCCAAAAAAGTACGTCAAGATTTTGTATGATTTCATTGCTTGGAGAAAGTAACGGTTTCTATCATATGGTGGTACCTCACTTCATACAACTTTGACTAAGTAATTCAAGTGCCCAATTAGTGTTCGAAATAGACGTCGGCCCATAGGCCTGAGGCCAACAGATTTGTTCTCGGGCTGATAGTTTCAAGATTCAGCTGGCCCTTAAGGATTGCAGTTTATTTTAGCTGTAAACATGGTACATGAATCATAACACTGGGATTGCTTGGGGAAACAGGGTCCAGCTTCAAAGTGCTCCACTTGTTAACTCTTCCAACACCAGCCACACCGTAGCTAAGTCAAAATAATATATAGTTTCATGAACCTACCTGTCATATCATTCATTGATTAAATCTCTCACTTTAAAGTCAAAAAGTACATATTTTATCAATAGATTTAAAATTATGATCTTTTCAGAGCAATGTCATAAAAAAAAATCTGGGACACATGCTTTGACAATGGGTCCATATTGAACATGTCAAAGAGAAATATAAGCCGTTTCAAGCAAATCATAAGTAGAGTAAATAAGATAATAAATAAAATCAACATATTTCTAAAAATTCTTAAAATTACATCTTTTCGTGCGATCATGTAATGTAACTCAAATGACATCTCGACATTTGTCGCCCAATTGTTAGGCTCGGACACAATGTTTAATGCCCAAATAATTGCATAAGACATCTTCGTGACAGGTCCTAACCTAGCACGATATGTCCACAAAGTTCCATATTTGAAACATAGGTGGCGATTTCCTGCTTAAAACATCAAAAATAACATGATTTATCATTTAACTTAAGCATTTATCCATGACATAAGCTTATGACATAAAAACATGTATGTCATACCCCAATGACATAAGTATGCAAATTAGATATGCAAATTAGATAACCGGAAGAGGGAGCAGTTTGATTTCAAACTATATATTATAAGTGAAGTTACACCAGAGATATAATCAGATTACACAGAATCGTTGTTGTTACCGTTATTAAAGTTTCAATTATTCTGCAAAAGTCTGTTCAAGTATTTCGTTTCAAATAATCCGAGGAACTTTTTTTCTCAGCGAATTGTTTATTTTGGTTTACATTGCTATGGAACACATGTATCACTACGCACGATCTATACGTAAGATTTCGACAAGTTGCTGATGTTAATGTTTAATGCAATTATTCCTTAATTTGGAAGCAAAAATGTGAAAATGATAACTAGAATTCATCACTCGTGTTTTTTAATATGGGAAATATCAACCTCGTCCCGTTAATCGGTATTTGCCTCGTCAAAGGCTCGGCAAATACCGATTAACTAAGACTCGGTTGATATTTCCCATATTAAAAAAGCACTCGTGATGAATCCTCTATTTAACTAAAACCTTTTGTCTAGATCTGAAATATATTGTACACAGTATACAGTATCCATTGCTGTAATTTGATTGGCTGACTTAGGTCATGTGCTTGATTTTGACCAATCACGATCCTTATATTAGAATATGTCAAAAGCGTCATTAGAAACCAATATCTATACAATAAAATCACATGTTACAACTATGATAATACTCCTGGCAATGTAACTGTAATATTATTGATGTTCAGATAAAACAAAACAAAACATCTCACAAATCTTTGCACATGTTGTTTCTACAGAGCTCGAAAACGGAGGTATTTCCCAGAAATTTCTCATGTCACTGAGCCACTATTATCAGGAAATATATAGAGGATTCATCACGAGTGTTTTTTAATATGGGAAATATCAACCGAGTCTTAGTTAATCGGCATTTGCCGAGCCTTTGACGAGGCAAATACCGATTAACGGGACGAGGTTGATATTTCCCATATTAAAAAACACGAGTGATGAATTCTATTTATCATTTTCACATTTTTGCTTCCAAATTAAGGAATAATTGCATTAAACATTAACATCAGCAACTTGTCGAAATCTTACGTATAGATCGTGCGTAGTGATACATGTTTTCCATAGCCATGTAAACCAAAATAAACAATTCGCTGAGAAAAAAAGTTCCTCGGATTATTTGAAACAAAATACTTGAACAGACTTTTGCAGAATAATTGAAACTTTAATAACGGTAACAACAACGATTCTGTGTAATCTGATTATATCTCTGGTGTAACTTCACTTATAATATATAGTTTGAAATCAAACTGCTCGCTCTTCCGGTTATCTAATTTGCATATCTAATTTGCATACTTATGTCATTGGGGTATGACATACATGTTTTTATGTCATAAGCTTATGTCATGGATAAATGCTTAAGTTAAATGATAAATCATGATAGATCATACTTAAAAAAATTTTTATCATCGTTTTCCAATTACTTTAATAAAAATTAAAAGAAATAAGTTAGTGGATAGCTCTATTATGAAACCTTAAAACTGTCGAAAAACGCCATAATTTTCGTTTCCTTGGTGCTCAATCTGGACGTTAAGGATGTGTTAGCGTAAATTTTTATTAGTATGAACATAATTAAGTTATAAATGCATTATTTGTATATTGTGATACACATAACTTTCATATTTAAAAACAGTAGTATTAGACCATTCAAATGGTGTATGACATGCATTGGCAAAGATGTGTTACAAGCTGATAATTTCCTTGATAACTGTAGGCTTCATCTATCTCCAGAGTCTGGGAACTTGGTGTGCTAGCAGTAAAAGCTTCTGGTTGACTGGTTGTGTTTTGTAATTTATGTTGCAAGAGTATGTCTCCCTGCTTCAGCTAAAATGTTTTGGCTTACAGTTTTTCCACTATGCCTACAGCTTTTGAAATGTGCTGGCCGTTAAGGCTCTCAGTTTACTCTGCTGAGTTTCAGACACTGTGCCCAATTGATAAAACATTGACGGAGAAATATCATGTTTGCAGTTGGGCTCAGAAGTGAGATTTTCGAAAGACCCTAATTGAAGGTCAAGGTCAACAGTGATCATTCTTAAAGTAATTGTGCAACTCACTGTGTGTTACTCCATCTCTTTCCCCTGATTTGATTATCTTAACTTGGACCTCTTGAGCTGTAAACCATGTTCCAAGGAAAAATAATGAAGTCTCTGAGGATCAAGATCATTTAACCAGAAGTGTATTTAAAGGTGTACTGCTTTGGGCATTTGTTTTCACAACTGACAGTGACATTATTAGACCAGGGCCCACCTGCACAAAGCGATCTTAGCGCTACGACTATTGTAAGCCTATGTTAAAGAATGGGAGTTACGATCATCTTAGCGCTAAGATCGCTTTCTGCATGGGGGCCCTGGAGGGTAACTTTGTTATTAAAGTATCCAGAGCCATGGTTCTTTCTGTCTTAAAGTTCCACTGAATATGACAGAGCCTTGCGCATAAAGTGGGTGTGTGAGTGAGTGGTTTAGCGCCATTACGCTGTTGTTAGCAATTTCCGGCAATATCATGCTGGGGTACACCAGAAATGGGTTTCACACATTGTGTCCATTTGAGGAATGAACTAAGGACTTTAGCCACGAGGCTATCCTACTGCTCCTCAGCATAAGGACCTTCTCTCGTTATATCTGACCTCAGGCTCTGAAGGAGACAGCCTTGACCCGGATGTTCCTGCCAGCTCCAATTCTCATCATCCCTCCAATCATCATGTCTGCCTTAGAAAAGTGAGTTCAGTGTTCAACAGAGTATATAGGATATCGCTTTTAAAATGCTTAGTAACATCAACGTCAAAGTAGACACAAGTTATGGATAACAACTTCTTTATTTACTGTAAAGGCTTGACGACAGTATAAGGATCTATACCGAAACAGCGCCTTTACATTAAGAAAAGAAGTTGTTTTCCATAGTGAGTGAGTTGGATTTAACGCCGATTTTAACAGTATTCAAGTTAGCTTAATGTGGGAGGAAAGCCCAAAGTGATGCAGGTCTCAGACGTTTACCACTTCGATGAAACCCACGAGCACGGGTATGGTTCTGACAAACCTAGAAACATAATCGGGGCGAACCCGGATTCGAACCCACAATCATAGGTTTCTGGCGTGCCCAAGGGACGCAACTCTGCACAGTGAATCGCAGTGCCTTAGACGACTGGGCCACCTGTGCCACCCTTGTTTTCCATAAATTGTGTCCACTTTGTCATCTGTCAACTTCTAAGTACTGCCTATCAAACAATTCAGCATCAATGTCTGTTAAATTGAGACTGTTCAGGTGGCATTAGTATGAAACATTATATTTGATATGTTTTGCAATACATTGTTCACAATAAGATCTGAAAACTATTTCAGGTGAAATTGTGATATTTTGAAACAAAGAACAATAGCTGGTTTCCTTTTCGAAAACCATTTTTGGGGTCAGTTGGTTATATTTACAACAATACTTGATGGATAAAGTACTTTATTGGCTTAAACTAGACTATGACTAGATGCCAAAATTATGTTTTGATGTATTTGCTAACACACAATTAATGATGAACTAGTTGGTATCATGCAAGTTATATACAGGTAGTGCTGTGTTATGTCAGTTTTTAGTGTTGTGATAGAATCTCATTATAGCAAACATTTACTCCAATATGATACCTAGCTGTGAGAATATCTGACAAATCATCCAAAGGTGAATCCAACAGTCGGTGTGAAATAAATTACTCACTAATAGTGAGTCACTATTCGTTTAATGACCCCTGGCGTTTTTGTCAGTCAGATATCGTAAAATGTGTTGTAATTAGGGTTTCAAGTTCACTACTTAATATAGCCACAACAAGCATGTGTCTACAGCTAGCTTTTCCTTTTGAACCTGCTCTGAAATATTTATTGTCAAGAAGTTTCCATGTGATTTGACGTAAATATGCGTATCGCGATACGTATCATGTGACCTATGTATCATGACCTTGCTGTATCGTTTCACCCCAAGTATATGTTTGTTGTGTATGTTTAATGATGCTCCTGAGCATCATAGTATCCACTAGCAAAAGGTCTGTTTATGTTCTGTTTATGTATTTTTTGGGGTTAAAATCAAAATTTCAAAATCAAGGTGGTAGTGAAATGAAGATGAATCGCTTTAGAAAGTTGAATAGCATCATATTTTTATTTGACTCTTCCACAGAACCAAATTCCTGAAGAAGTATCCCAGAATGCACTTGCCCTGTAATGCAGTTGTGTGCACAGCAGCATTTGGTCTCGCTCTCCCTGTGGCCATTGCCCTCTTCCCACAGATGTCTCAGGTAAGAACACATCATTTTCACCTGTTATACAGATAATTATGTATTTATGTTACAAATATTAGGTTGGTCAAAATATAAAAAATAGTTAAATGTGCAGTGGAAAATAAATAACAGACCCGTGAAGATCCGGGTTAGAATTGGTCTTCAGCAACCCATGCTTGTCGTACGAGGCGACTAACGGTCTCCTGTGGTCAGGCTCGCTGACTTGGTTGATGCATGTCATCATTCCCAATTGTGTAGATTAAAGCACATGGCAATCACTGGCTTGTCTGGTCCAGACTTGATTATCTACAGACCACCGTCATACAGCTGGAATATTACACAAACAAATAAAGACAATGCAAGTTCAATGATGCCTCGGACTTAAAATATAGGCCATGATGTCCACTAGGCCACAAGCAGACTACTGTTTCCTGTTGCCTTACTATGCTGAATAATGTCAGTTATTTCATATCTTTGTCTACATAATTTTGTGTTACTGAGTAAATTAGCAGTCTGTGAAATTGTTATTGTTGACTTATTTATTTATTTAAATTGACTTCAATATTTTTTGGAGTTTATGGAAGTATGAACAAACAAAAAGGTGTGCAAACTTTGCTGAGTTGATATATACAATGTGAACTCCGTTTTTTGTTTATACCTCCATAAACACAAAAATATTTAAGTCAATTAAGTAGATATAAATCTTAACCTTTTGAACTCTGGAGCAGAACGCTTCACTTCAATATGGGGGTCAGTGTCAAAAATGCTGCTGAAAAATAAGAATCCCACAGCAAACCAATTCTCACCCTTGCTCATGACATCATACCAAAAATGAATGAATTGTTGCTCATGCAGTTGACCACAAGTTGAAAACTTTGCCCCCATGATGGATCTGTAAAATTACTAAGTAGAGCATGAACTCCATGGGCTCGTTGTTTAGTTCTCACCTGTCGTTACTTTTGAAGAATTTGTCACCCTCTGAATCTTCAATTCCTGTACAGGTGAACACATCAGATCTGGAACCGGAGTTGAAGGGTCTGACTGATGAGTCCGTTCTCTACTACAACAAGGGGCTGTAACAGGTTGTAACATGGAGAAGATGCTGTGAAGAATACACAGACGATCAGGAGAAAATGGAGATATTTTCAGTGTTGTGAAACAATATTGAACAGTTATTATTTAGAAGGGAAGACGAGATGTTTCGATAAACTGCTTTTTATGGCACTGTGCAATGTCAGTGAATACTAATGTAGGGTTTTTCATGCCGGACAAGTGTGCGTCCAGTATGCACAAATATAGAATGGACGCAGAAAATAATCATACTGAATCCCGAGGGATGCACAATAACACTCATCGTACCTACACCTCATCAAGAGCAGTTATGGGTATCTGTTATTTCAGCCATCAATCATGACCTCTGTCCACATGATCGTTGATTCATTCCAGGCTCTAAAGTAATTATTTAAACGTACAGCACACTACACCATATAGTTACTTTACAGGACCCTCATATTGCCTGCAAGGACCCTTAATATTAATTATTGGGGGTCGCCTGGACCCCTACTTTTGTAAGTCAAGGTAAAACTGTGGTGGTGCTCAATGGAACGTAATCTGGTCATGTCTTCATCACATGGCGTTTGTCTTGAAGCGAACCCATGTATTCAGACACACATCACTACAGCCATGTTCACTCTCTCAAATCTGGAATTTGTTCTGGTAAATAAACTGCTTAATGAATATTGTAGGATATAATAGATATATAGAGGATATTCCATCTCTCGTGTGAATATGAGATGTTTCTCTCATCGAGTGACGGGGGAAGGAGATATTTTCACAAGTGACATAGGCATGAGTAAAAATATCACCTTTTAAAATTTACAGTTCATGACTAAACATTTTCAAAAGAATAACAAACGGCAAGAAGCAATATTGACACCATAAATGACCATCTGTCATTTTTTAGCCTTGCAAATGTGGACCTAACAAAAATAAGAAGTGAACAGTTTATGTATGGGCTAGACACTTATGATAAAGGGAGATAATTGGCGGGGAGGTAACTCTTTTAAGACAATCGTTCCTTCAAAGTGTTATGTTCACTGCAGTGAAATATCAAGTGATATTATATTTGAAAATATATCTAAATATTCTAACATGAATTTGTAGATTTCTCCATTCTGATTGGTCCGTCAGTGGGTATCAAATCACAATAAGCCCCCTCTGACTGTAACAGCTGATTTGATGGCCACATCATTGCGGAGGCTTGTATTTATAGAATAGTATTTTTTCAGTCATTGTCGCAAGGCAGTTTGTAATAATTATACATGTATGTGCAATTAAAGGTTACAAAATGCATAGTTGCAGTTACTACAATATTAAAAGGATGTGTGGCAATACATTTTGTGCAGAAAACATGATAGAATTCTGCAAAGAGAATGTATTTCAAGTTTCCATTACAACAGTGCTGAAAATTTGGTGACTAATCATCATGATCATATACACTGTGATGTCATCTCTTTTGCATGACAATGCGCAACAAGTCATAATAATGACATGCAGTTTAGAATGAAGCCTCTTGAGCATGCAGAGCACCATATTTTGTTTAAAGGCTGTTATCAGTGATTCCATAATTCAGCTCGACAACCCATAAAACACTGGACTCAGCCCATGCCGCTTCACTCAATATATTTGCTAACACCAAAGAGTTTGTGTTTTGTTTAGTCATGGTAGAATGGAGATAAACATACTGTGTTTTCAATGTAGAGATAGGCTACCTGTAGATTTAACCAAGCTAAATTTAACATTCATGAAATATATCGTATTCGTTGTAATAAGCGGCCCGATCTAATAAGCGCCAACGGCGATATTTGCTAATATATTGGCTAGTGAACAATCCCAATTAGCACCCCTTCCGATGGATCAATGTACTCAAGAGTTATTTATTCGTATATAATACGTTCTGGTGTGTTATATGCATCCTTAATTATGGGCAATTAAATTCTGGAAAATATTTCTGTCGTGTATAATACGCACTGACTTTTCTTATGTATCATTTCAGGCTGTAAGCATAAACCACGAAATTTACGATCTTTCAACTCTGTTTTTTTTCTCACCCAAATTATATTCTAATAAGACCCCCCTATTTCTAATTTTGAGAGCGCTCTGGGTGCTGATTACGTCGAATACGGTAAACCAGCAAATTCACATCTATGTATATGCATTTACATAGAAGGGAAGTAAATATGTGGTGTAGCCTTGAAACAGTATACATATTAGATCTGGAACTACAGGCAGCTTATGTTTACTGAATCTTGGTTATGTGTGTATATTGTCAGTGTCATTGCTGTAGCTGGACGATCTGTTGTGAACATTCCCCCTCAGAATATAGTCAATAACTTTACAACATTTACGGTATTGTTAAATCAGGTATTTTTATACACCAACGTTTCTCTCTTTGAGAAAAGTGCCTTAGATCTATTTGAAACAAAATGGGTTTTTTTCTGTTAGTATTTTTTAAGTTTTATCTAAATGTACTTTTATATATATATATATAATTTAATGCATAACTTGTTCAAGTCACGATATGGCTGAAATATTGCTGATGTGACTTTAAATATTAACTCACTCACTCTAAATGTACATTGATGATGATCTTATGTATATATATATATACAGGCTTAAGATTGTTTATGCAGGCCATGTGTTTTTTATAGTGTATATGTAGGTATGAAGACATTCACTGCCCCGTGTATTCTGTCTCCCAGACCCTTGAATCCAACTCAAGTCTAGGATGATTTGGCAAGTCTAGATAGCCTCAGCTCTCAGCCCAGAAATTAAGCATTGTTCTGGGCTCCTTTTGGATTTGATTTGATGTATTTTAGATAAATATATTTATAACTTTATTTCTGGGACTAAATTTTAGTCTATGTCCTGAACAGAGTCGCTTGATTCAGATGACATGTGTAATCAGTATGCCAGGCAAGGCAATCAGAATATTCATCTAAATCAAAGTCTGAAAAGGATGTCCACTGGTGCTTATTTTCTAATATTTTAGGTAATGAGAATCAGCCTCATGATGCATATAGTTGTGGTTATAATCAGCTAACTTGTTTCAAGTCCTACTCAGGGTTTGCACAAGTTTCCACAAATTGTGCTAAAGACTATATAAATATTGTACACAATATTGTCAGCCATATTTAGATATGCAGATCGTGTTGCAGAAGTATGCACATATTCGATACAAGTTGGCCTCTAGTTGTATATGTTACAGTCAATGTGTAACATTTTCACTTGGGCAATTAGAAAATGCCAAAATATTTCAGTTATTTTGCAATTATTTTTCCATTTATTTTATGATAACAAACATTTATTTTGTTTTCTCTTTCATCACCCAGTGACTGAAAATGATAGGAATAACAGGAAATGAAAGTCAGTGTATATATATATATATTTTTTTTTTGGCTTCTAATCCTAGCATAAGTGGAATATTGTGATTTTTTAAAGCCCTTTTGAACTTCTTATTAACGTTTAGTCAGTCTGATGGAAAACTAATTGTACAATTGTGTTTTGTAAATTGCCTCAGTGAAAATTTCAGTCGTTGTAACATATAAAAGTTCTGTTCAAGGTAGCCACTAGTCCCATTTACAACGAATTATACATGTGTACATTTGTTGATTTTCTATTAAACTGCTTGATGAGTGAACTGGTTATTAGGCATGATAAAAATCAAACCTCTATTTTTGTCTTTCTTGTCATAAGTTTGAAATGACTTGACCAGTTGGAGGACATGCTGAAGAAATCAGGTGTAGCATAGGCCTTGGAAACCATGGGGATATTGAAGACTATCGCTGCCTCCACTATCATGGTGCATGTCAATTACTGCACAACCAAGGAAAGTCGGTTATTCCATCTCCATCTTCCCGAGGCAAGAGAGTTAACTGACTATAAAAGTCCAGTTTCCACCCTTGCCGAACTAGGCTCGTATTATGGAGTTACATTTTGGCTGGACAAACGACTCCATGCATATAGTCCAATCAAAATCGCGCACCGAAATCGAAATCCGGTTCGTAAACTGTCGTGCAGATTTCGGTCGATTGCAGGATTTGCAAAGCATGTGCACCGCCAACTCGTTATCAACAGTTATTTTCCAAATCTTTTCATGTTTTTAATCAAGGTGCTCACGTGATTTGATGCATTTCGCGATGTAAGACCCGTTTTATCACAATATAGATCTTGATTATCGATCAGATCGCCTTGACCGGGCGCCACACACATACATGTATAGGGGCAGTCGATTCCCGACATGGCTACAATGTGTGTTCACCTGTGTAAGATGTATATGTTGTTTTGAATTTATTTGTCAGCAGAAGTGCTGAAGCAAGGAAAATAAGGAGTGCAGTTGTTTCCTGATAAACTCTTAGATGACCTCTGTTTAAGGTCAAGGTCACTAGAGGTCAAATCATGGAACATGGTTCAATTTAGTGGGCATGACTGTCTAATGTTGAGGTGGCTTCAAAGGTCATCCACTCATGACATGTTGTATCCCAATTATCTGTATCGATGCTCATGATATCAATCACTGGATTGTCTGGTCTGGATTACAGACCGCTGAGTTTGGCGTTAAACAACAAACAAACATGGCCTGGGTTACATTAACACCACTAGTAGCATCTTTCACTGGTATGCTGGGGGTGCTGATTAAAGCATTCACCCGTCACGAAGACCCCGGTTCGATTCCCCACAAGGGCACAATGTGTGAAGTCTGGGTTTCTGGATGCTGTTGTACAAAGCGATCTTAGCACTAAGGTGATCGTAACTCCCAAACCTCAACACTGACTACAGTCGTAGTGCTAAGGTTGTTTTGTACAACGGCACCTGGTGTCCCGTCGTGATATTGCTGGGATGTTGCTTAAAGCGCCATAAAACGATACTCACTCACTTGCCTACTGAAAAGAGTATATAGCGAGCGCCCGATCCGCTGCCGTTTGGTGGCCCTTGTAATTCCCACGTTTGGTCGACAAGGACATCAACTTCAACATGGTGAACTCGCCAGCTTCATCTTGTTAGATGTTCACGTCTCTAGTATTCGTGTATCCTCCCCTCCTTCTTAGAAACAACCAAACGTGCTTTTAGTTTTTATATGCGTACTGCTGAGTGTAAATAATGTACATGTATGCCTTCTCAGAGACTTCGTCCAAATTTATAGGCTCCTGCTCTTCAGTGGGAACCTTCCATCCCTCTGCTGATCAGCGGTTGGGATTCCAACTTTTTGGCTTATTCAATTTCTGCCCGCTTTTCAACGGGATATGTATTATTTTCTTACCGCTATTGCTGCTGGCGAAACTGGTCGCCCATCGCTGCTGCTGCTGGCAACTCAAGTTGCCCATTTAACTACCTTTGCTTAAAAGATATTCTTCTCTTATTTATTTGGCCTGCCTGGGCAACATGTCCTTTCAGGCCTTTCGATGGGTGTGTGTTTCAATAATGTATGTGTATGCCTTCTCAGAGACTTCGTCCGGATCTTGATCTGGTTTCCTGCAGCGGTTTCGGTTTTCCTCCAACATCAACCTGACACACCATGATGTCGTACTGAAATACTGTACCACTGAATCCAATTTACTCACTAACTCAACATGTAGGCCTATCAAAACCCAAGCATCATGTACACGGCAGGTGTTTCTCACCTGTCAGACTCGTCAATAGGGATAGGAGCTGTGTACCACTTGTGTGACTTGTTAACATGTCTAATGCCCCTGACACTAGTGGCAACTTAATAAATTCAATCGGTCAACTTCTATCAGCCACATAAATTGCCCCGTGTGGCAACCTTTACTTCAGTTTCACCTCAAAGCAACTATCGGCGAGAGATAGAGACAGGCTCTTTGCCAGGCCGACATCTGTTCACCCAGGTTAACAAATTTGGTTGACCGTGTGTTACCATTTAAACTTATTAAAACTACCAATCCGATTGCTTATTTCCGTCACGTGATATTATCTGTCTTGCTCTCCTTGTCTTAATACCAATACCAATTTAATAGCTGCAAAAGCCCATTTGCCTCTCCAACTCATTGTCAATATTCATTCTCTCCCGCCATGTTGGTTTGGAAGGGTGACGTAGTCGCGTTTCCTTGGCAATCAGCCAGATGTCGGGAAAGTTTGAGGATGTATGTCTGAGCGTGAGAAAGGTCTGTCTGCAGACCTTACTGTCTCTCTACCGATGTTACCATACATAAATTGTCTCGTGTGTCATGAGCTAACGGGATCTAGTCCGTGGAACTCATGTTCTTTTGTGCAATAGATGCTCTGAATGATCGGGTAGCCTATATAGTGTTTAAAGCGTTCACGCCGAAGACCCGGGTTTGAATCCCGACATGGGTACAATGTGTGAAGCCCATTTCTGGTGTCCCCCGCCGTGATATTGCTGGAATATTGCCAAAAGCGGCGTAAAACCAAACCCACTCAGTCGGGCACTCACTCACTCACTCACTCACTCACTCACTCACTCACTCACTCACTCACTCACTCACTCACTCTGAATAATAGTGGATACATGAATGCACATTGTATTTTGTTCACCAACGAAACAATCAACAACAAAAAATATACAAAAACATCCACTTTATTCCATCTTGCTGCACATGTCACGTGATAGTTAATGCTGGTGCAGAAAATAGTTATATCACCACGTGTCTCCATGGCAACTGCAACGTACATGTACATCCCCAATCACAATGTGGCTGTGCAGGCTATGCACACCAATACTCGCCAGTAACGTGTGCAATCGTGTAACACTTGTTGCGGAACAAAATCATCATACTTAGCTACTTGTTGAGGAGTAAGGGAAATCATCCTTTACGTCATGTTACGGAGGATAACATGATGCGGTGCATTAGAAATACTACTTTAACTCTTGTGGACGTATAAAATCCAAACAATACTCAGCGTCATTTTTTAGGGAGCACGCAGATATTAAGAGTTAAAACGTCCCATTTGCCATGAGTGTAGTCAGTTGAATCTGGAATGAACCATCGTATACCCATAATGACTGTCACTTGTCATACATTGATCTAAACCTCTGCTTGCGTTCAAGGTGTTTTGGGTAGCTTTTTCCATCACATCCAATTTTGGGCTTTTTATTGTTTAAAATAGTCGTTTTCCATTTTTTCCGGTTTCTTAAAAGTATTCAATCAGTGTGATATAGGCATAAACAACATGTTCAACTTTTAATCGCATTGTCAACATACTCAGACCTATTGAAGCTTGTTGGTATACGTTCATGGGGTCGATCCGGGGTAGAATACTATTAGGTCTTCAGCAACCCATGCTTGCCGTACAAGGCGATTTTGCTTGTCATAAGAGGCGAATAACGGGATCAGGTGGCCATGCTCGCTGACTTGGTTGATGCATGTCATCGATCCCAAGTGCGTGGATCGATGCTCATGATATTAATCACTGGATTATCTGGCCCAGACACGATTATTTACAGACCGCCGTCATATAGCTGGAATATTGCTGAGTGCGGCGTTAAACAAACCAACCAACCAACATAAGGTGATCCTTCAATAATGACACTGAGTATATATCGAATGTTGCGAAGCAAATTAATACACATTGTACCACATTTGTCCGGTTTAAAGAAATAAAAAAAATTTTTACTTGTGTCGTTCAAATACTATTCTCATATTTATGAAGGTTATCAATGCTACCCAAAGACAAGTTTTATTCAACCAGATATGTAATAGGACGAATCGATCACATGCAAAAAGAACAAAAAACATGCAAGACACAGACACAATATTTGTGCATATAATTGGAGAATAACCATCGTATTAAAGATGTTGTAACTCTATGCAGCAACAAAATCTGCAGCCTTCCTCTAAACTAATGAGCTAAACTGAGGGGCGAAAGAAAGTATACCGAGATTATTTTTATGTAATTGAAAATTGAAACAACTGTTGTTCAAATTTGATTATGTCTATTTAACCATCACTCATGCCTGCAACAGTTAGTCTGTGGCTTGTTCATTTTGTGTAAATTTCAATGAAGATTGGGTACTAAATGAATTTGCAACCACATGACCCCTATCATGTTTGAAATGTTGAAAATTTGTGCCGAAAACAGCAAATCAGCCAACAGCAGTTGTGTATTTTATGGAATCTTTTTATTTCTAAAGCTTTAAATCAAAGTATATTTTCAAAAAATGAAACCATGTAGAAGGATTCTCTAACTGCTGACTTATCGCCAGTACAGTTCTTAACTTAAGATATTTTAAATTGAAAAAGAAACATTAAAATCAACAAAAAGGCACAGTTCCTTTTGCTTCTCAGATTATATTGATATTGTCCACTCTGATTTCTATGTTATAAACATGTAAAACCGGGCGATTTGAAAACTGTCTGGTTTCTACATACTCTAGTTTTAAATACTAGTATACATATTCTGCAAAACCGCGACCCCAGAGCTGGAAAAATAAAAATAGCTTAATGATGCTGAATAGATTAATTAGTCTTACAGTTGAAGCGGACCGAGCGACTAATGCATCTTGTTATTGACAAAAAATCACAGAAGTGTAGAGGGGATTTTCAAAAACTGATTCTAGAACATCGAAGGTATGATTGTATTTCTTGCACATAGGCAGCAGGCTCGTGACCGCCTTCTTCTCATCAGCTATTTGGGATGTTTACAAACCATGGCCAAGTGTTCATGTTAATGTTTAACGCTGGTGTTTGATATATAGTTGTGAGTATCAATGTTGTTTAACCACATAGGCAGCCATATTACAGCTTTATCACGGCTGCCTGTACATGACGGAGTCTGAACCCATCCCCCTGAGGTAAGGGGGTTAACTGACTTTATAAGTCCAGTTTACACCCTTGCCGGACTAGGCTGGAATTATGGAGTTATATTTTGGCTGGACTAACGAGTCTTTGCACAGTCCAATCAAAATCGCGTAATGAAATCGACATCCGGTTCGTAAACTGCCGTGCAGATTTCGGTCGATTGCAGGATTTGCAAAGCATATGTACAGTCAACATGTCGTCAACAGAAATTTTCCAAATCTTTTCATCAAGACGCTCACTTGATTTGATGCACGCGAGGTAAGACCCTTTCTATTACAATGTAGATCTTGATTATCGATCGGATCGTCTTGACTGGGCGCCGCCATTTTGTTTGAAGCAAATACAAGTGATATCTGATTGGTCAAAAGGAAGGATATAGAAGGGACAGTAATAGCCATTTGTGGCGCTACGATCGAGCCCAGAAATTCCAGTCTGGTTCGGCAAGGGTGGAGACTGGACTTATATAGTCAGTTATCGCCCTTGCCTCGGGAAGATGGTCTGAACTAGGCGAACTAGTGACTGATAGAAAGAGCAACAATCCAAGTCACTGGAACTGTCTCGAAACCTGGCAACTGGAGGCCCTTTTTAGTCGGCTCTTACGACAAACATGAGGTACTGGGAACCTTTTTGACATGGAATCCACACATGGTTTGATATATATGAATACACAAGCATATACACAATACAATTTGTCAATATATTGCCGACTAATTTAGGTGTAGGTTTCTTATTGTTAATGACATTCAATAAATAACAAACATAAATGGAGCTATGTTCAACAACTGGTGTGATTTGGCTCGAATCTATGGCATTGTTATGACTCTTTATCGTGGAAGGTGTGGTGGAAGGTGTGGCCGATGCTTCTCAATGCCTACACAACATACATGTGACGCGGCATCTTCCCAAGCAGTGTCGGTGCCTATTGTACGCTATACATGGTATAGAACGAAGGTTCAATGTTACATTCTTGACGGTGTACCGGATTCTGTCTTTGTTGTATTTGTTGTTTAACGCCGCACTCAACAATATTCAAGCCATATAACGGCGGTCTATGAAACCTTGAATCTGGACCAGACAATCTAGTCATGGGCATCATGGGCATCGATCTACGCAACTGGGACACGAGGACACGCATCAACCGAGTCAGCAAGCCTGACTTCCCGATCCCTGTTAATCGCCATTTACGACAAGCAAGGGTTGATGAAGACAAATTCTAACCCGAAACACGGAGTGTAGTGTATCCACACAACATACAATGGAAATGGCATAATCTTTGTTTCCACTTGTACATGTGTGTCTGAGTGCATGGTTTCCTGTCAGTCAGCAACTTGTACATGTGTGTCTGAGTGCATGGTTTCCGGTCTGTCAGCAACTTGTACATGTGTGTCTGAGTGCATGGTTTCCTGTCTGTCAGTCAACTTGTACATGTGTGTCTGAGTGCATGGTTTCCGGTCAGTCAGCAACTTGAACATGTGTGTCTGAGTGCATTATTTCCGGTCTGTCAGTCAATTTGTACATGTGTCTGAGTGCATGGTTTCCGGTCTGTCAGTCAACTTGTACATGTGTGTCTGAGTGCATGGTTTCCGTCCTCTCTGTCAACTTGTGGATGTGAGTCTGAGTGCATTATTTCCGGTCTGTCAGTCAACTTGTACATGTGTGTCTGAGTGCATGGTTTCCGTCCTCTCTGTCAACTTGTGGATGTGAGTCTGAGTGCATTATTTCCGGTCTGTCAGTCAAATTGTACATGTGTGTCTGAGTGCATGCTTTCCGGTCTGTCAGTCAACTTGTACATGTGTGTCTGAGTGCATGGTTTCCGGTCTTTCAGTCAACTTGTACATGTGTGTCTGAGTGCATGGTTTCCGGTCTTTCAGTCAACTTGTACATGTGTGTCTGAGTGCATGGTTTCCGTCCACTCTGTCAACTTGTACATGTGTGTCTGAGTGCATGGTTTCCGGTCTGTCAGTCAACTTGTACATGTGTGTCTGAGGGCATGCTTCGGTCTGTCAGTCAACTTGTACACAAATAAACGTTGACTTTTCATAGCAATCAATTTGGAAAATCGTTATATTTGGTTTCGTTAATGTTCCGCGAAGTTGTTTACATGTGCGCATGCTCTTCTTAGCTGGATATTGATGCAGTGGCAATCTCTGGGCAGAATACATTTGAATTATTTGTTTACCATCAACTATCAAACATTTCTCAACTCGTTGTCTCGAATTATCACGTTCTTCTTGATGAAGACAGGAACAAAATTTCGTTCGTACGTGTAGAAGATTAGAACGTTCTTTGTGTTAAACACTGTGACACAAGGGACATTCTAATCTTTGTGTTAAACACTAACACAAAGAACATTCTGATATTTTACATGCACCAAATGTTATTCCTGACTTCAACAAGACGAATGTGATAATTCGAGCCAAAACAAACTCGAAAAACAAGCATTATGACTTTTGAATAATCTATTTGTTTGTAAAGGTTTTAATATGTTTACGTGACATGAAACGTGAGTCTGGGAACACAAAGTGAATCAATCAGATTTACATTATAACACACAATCCGTTATAACCGTTAATAGAAACTATATACATTCCAAATAACTGTGACATTCATAAATATTTACAAAACGAATATACATTTGAATTATAACATATAAATATATATGTGTTAAATATACACAAGTTTAGAAATTAAACGTTTTGTAAGAGATTGGACATGACATGGCATCAAATTCAATGACACTACATCTCAAAACATACGTCCTCTTCATTGTGACATGGGAACGTTAGTCTTGAACAGTAATAATAAATGCGTCTCTGTAAAAATGCTGTCACATATCCTGATCTAAAATTTTCGCAGATGTATCACTTGAAATGATCAAGTATTTCCGCGTCTTGTATCTGCCGTTCGGTCGCTATATGGCTGAAATAATGCCGATGTGACGTTAAATTTTAACTCACTCACTATCTCCCGTTCCGCAAATAGTCAACACATTGCAGTTTGCAATGGACCTCGATCAGCCGCTCTTCCCACAGAACAGCCATACCACCGCGTGAGAACGCCGGAAATGGGCTTCACACAGTGTGACATTGCACGCATGTGGGGACCGAACTCGGATCTTAGTCGAAAGTAGGATACGCTGTAGCCACTTGGCTACGCCTACACAAGGGCTTTTCGGGGTCTCTTGCGCAAACAACTGAACACGTATCTGTTTGTTTGTCTGTTGTTGAACGCCGCACTCAGCAATATTCCAGCCATATGACGGCGGTCTGTCAATAATCGAGACTGGACCAAACAATCCAGTGATTGACATCATGAGCATCGATAAACGCATTTGGGATACGATGACATGCATCAACCAAGTCAGCGAGCCTGACCACCCGATCCCGTTAGTCGCCTCTTACGACCAGCACAGTATCCTCTTACGATCAGCATAGAACAGTATGGGGGCATGGGTGAGGTGCCCGTGGTGCCACTTGCCCCTCCCCGCGCCTTTTACGACCAGAGACTCTGCACACGCTTAAACACCGTGAGTTAGAGTAATGCTGCCGGCGTAATGTCACTGTAACAACCCGTTTTCTGTAACAAATCCAAATTTCTGTAACAAGATTTGCAGTTCTGCAAATTTTTATTTACTGCATATAGGAGATTGGCATTGGGATAGATTGCTCTGTGTTTTATCTCAAGATCTGTTTCTGTGCGTATGTGTCCATCCTCGATTATCACATGTATCAAATCTCTACTCTACTCAGATAAATACACTAGACTCCCTTTGACTTGACTGTCTCCTTCACAGCTTCCTTTGTGAAGTGACGTCACCATGTCGAAATCTCTTGTCAGTAACTTTTCACTGAATTCCCCTCGTACATGAATGCGATTTCATGGGAAGGCGATATAGCGTCCTGTCCTTGTTATTCGCATTGGACTCAAACCAAAGCTATAGCGAATGGGTCCGGGGTCTTAATCGTAACAGAATGGTGTTATAACACACTGGATAACCGAGGATGGTACGGGACTGGAAGAAGGGAATAGGATTTCCAAATACTAGGGTCAAACAAGCATTTGGGCATGCATACGTGGATATAACATAGAAAAAATGACACCCTCGAAGTCAAGGTCCGTCAACCCCGCGCAGTTCAAAACGGAGCAGCGCCTGGACCAACGTGTCTGGTCCGTGTTGGAACTAGTCCATTATTTCTGGTGCCCCTCAATGGGCACTGTCCCGTGTTTTTATAATGGGTTAACCTGAATACAACTGACAGAACGACAGAGCGTCGTGACATACAGACATACATTCAAAATCAAAATTATCGTTATACTTTTGAGAATGATTTAACTCATTTCTTGGGGCACGGGTGGCCCAGTCGTCTTATAGGCGCCGCAATTCGCTGTGTAGAGTTGCGTCCCCTGTGCACGCCAAGTGCCAAGGGTTTCATATTGCAGGCCCAAAGGCCCGAAGTACTGCATAAACAAAACATGATTGATGATTCGAATCCCGGTTCGTTCTTATTGTGTTTCTATGTTTGTCAGCACCATATCCGTGCTCGTGGTTTCACCAAAGTGGTAAACGTCTCAGAAATGCATCAGTTTGGTCTTTCATCCCACACTAAGCTGTCACTTGTGATATAACTGGAATATTGTTCAAAGCGGCGTTAAACCCTACCCACTCACTCACTCACTCACCATTAAAAAAGTAATATTGTTCAAATGCTTAGGGGTTCAACGGGTGATACACTCGATCCATCCCATTAATCCAAGGCAGTACACCAATAAAACATTGATTGGGTCTCATACTCCTCAGGGAGCTGAGAATGGAAATCGAGTGTACACTGATCCATTGATCATGGCTATAATAACGTAGTGCCAGGAACAAGGAAATGTACTTAGCTAAAGGTAGATATACTTATGGCAATTCTACAGCAACAGTGGCACCGATATTGCAATACTATCACAATAGTATGCTTAACTATCGAACTACTTTTCAGTTACAAAAAAGTTCTCGCTAGTCACCCCTTTAATTGGGATGAATATAGATATATTCCGTTTCAATTTGCATGAATCTTATAAGAGAGCAAAGTCAATTGTGAAGTCAATCATAACGGCGACATAACAAACAAGGGAAGTAACTCACGTTTGGCTCTACCAACAGTAACATAATAAAAAAAACAGATGATGATTACCATTTAATGAAAGAAACGAACGGCGACTAGAGAATCCATAAAACCACTCCCTGGACTCTTAGTCTTTGATCCAGCAATCATTCAATAGATTTGACTGCTCGACACATATGGCTACTTCAATCGGAATTCTCTGCCCTCGACAGCCTACCAGCAAACCTTGTGTGTGTGTCATTGCAATAGAGGTGCTTGCTGTTTTTGGTAACTCCTATCATTTCGCGAAATCTTCACAAGACATGTGCCGCATCCCATATGAAATTGGATCACGTGCTCCTATGTAAATCATATTATAAACAACAACAGAGCATGCGCATGTGCATTTTCATTCCTGGAATACAACCCACATATTGCAAATATTGACCTGATAGGGATGCTCTGGCTGCGTGATTGTTATATTTCTCCAAAACTGTTATTGCCTACATAATATAAGTGAGAAAACTCAGCCAAATATTATAACACAAATACACCCCTGTGTAGTGAGGATGGATATCAAGACGGCTCGGTGGTTTCTGCTTCTATCGTCTGCTTCTCCGGCTCGTCCGAAACTGTCGTCTGCTTCACTGGCTCGTCCGATTCTGTCGTCTCCTTCTCCGATTCCAGGTCTGCTAGCTTCTTCCTTTCTTGTTCCTCGAGACTTCTGAAATACAAATGAAAGTAACAACGTTAAAGTTGGATTGCACACATCAGGTTTACGTCTTGATCATGAACGTATCATTAATATCTCAAGCACGGTCATGAATTGTACTGTCGACGGAAACGTATCGGAGGAGCTTATACTCACTTCTCCCTGTTGTAAGGTGTAAAGTTTTTTCCTATACTCTTCAGGTAGATCTGCAGCTCGTCCATTTCCTGAAACAGCAAAGTAGTAAACGTATCCCAATTTAGCTTATTTCATGAGAATTTAGATAAGTAAATTTGATTATAAATCGTCCTGTAACCCTATCCCTGTCCTTGGCAAAAAGGTACACCGACCACCGCTCCTACGCCTAACCCAATAGCGGCCGGTTGACCAATTGACAGACCACCGTCCCAAGATAATCGCGGCCCCTGTTTTGGGCCCTATCACACCTAACCCAATCTCTACGCCGACCACATCTACACCTCTTTCAGGTACCACACAACAACTACTGTCCCCATTCATTAACCTTATGTTATTCCTGCTAATGTCGTATCCCGGGTCTCGTATCAATGACACACGTTCCCCAACATCAGACTGTCCCTAGTCGAACCCATGTCTACCCCTTACGCATTTATCAATTATGCTGATAAGCAAATTTCTTAGGTCTAGACACAAAATCTCCCCCCAACTGTGTGAACGCGGGTGCTATCAGTTGCGGAGGACGTGCTTACCCTTTACGCGAACACTGGTGTCATCACTGATTTTCAGTGATCCATTCATACAATGTTCATCCCTAGTTTGCCCTTTCCGCTCAATTGAATCTGTTTCGGCGGATAATCGAGACTGGTTAGTCTCTGGCGTTGACTTTCTATATGTAATCAATACCTTTTCTGCCCCTGACCCTTCATCCACCCCGGGTGTTTCAGCCCTACGCCCCTAATAATCCCTTTTTTCATCCTCATTCTATCGGCTAAGGGTCATTCTGAGTTCAGGCGCCATACTGTTAAACAACTACGTAACGTTGGATTTTCTGGTCTTGCCGCCGTGAGATGACAACAATATTGTGGACAACGTAATCCCAAGTTCTCATTGGACTTGTCTCAATCCAGAGTCTATATGGTCTCTGTTTTTAGTCTAAATGGACCTGGGCAGCAAGATTGGTCACCACTCGCTCCCTACCTCTGTTGACGACTGGGACATCATTTCCCCCTTCCTGGAGTTTTGTTTGGCGAGTCTCTTCTTCTTCTTATGAAGTGGTTTCGTCTCTATGATCATCTCCTCCAGTTCGTACGTTGGGTCACAGTTGAGGTGATCCTTCTGGAAACACAACCACGCGCCTCGTTGTACACCAACGATACAATAGGACCCCAATAATCCTGAATATGCCTAAAGTCAGTTTAGACCCGTTTAGTGGACTAAATAAGTATGGATGCTGCAATGATACAAAAGTAAGATACAACATTTGCACAAGACAACAAGTTGGCACGGCTATATATGCAATCAACACAATGAAGCTATCTTCACAATATGCATTCGCTGATGAGAGTTGTCTCCCTTAGATGCTGTGGCGAGTTGTTGGTTCAAATCCTTAAACCATCCTTTTTTTCATCCTTATTCTACCAGCTAAAGGTCATTCTGAGTTTCGCCAAATTGGTAAACAACTACCATCTGCGTAACGTTGGGTTTTCTAACCTTGTCGGCGTGAGATGACAACAATATTGTGGACAAGGTAATCCCAAATTCACATTGGACTTGTGTCAATCAAGAGATCATATGGTCTCTGTCCAGTCTAAATGGACCTTGGCCAGCATTGGCGGGGATCCAGACTGGAACTATTTTCATGCACATGACTATCCCATGAAACAGCACGACCAGGCAGCAGCCGTGAACTTAATAAAACTGTTTCCATTTGTTTCCATCTTCAAATCAAGATGTATGCTTAAGTAATGCGACCTTATATGGCGGGGTCTCGCGTCACACGGTTTACAGTGAATGCATGCAATATCACAATGCCACTGCTGCCCGAGCATTCGTCACCACTCGCCCTTTTCCGTAACATGCAAGACTCGTCCCCCTATCGATGAATGTTATGTGCGAAAATACGACAAACCAATCAGAATATGTGTATGATTTCAAGTTCTTCGTCAAAGAATCCCTCAGAAATAATTTTTGATTTTACATATGTCTTGCATCTAAAATATACCCAAGACACAGTTAAAGGTGTTCAATCATACTGTATAATTTCGCATGTCCTGATGTGCTTTAAATTCGCTTTTGAAATATATATAATCAATGGGGAAATATATGTGAACCATAACACAACAAGTTGACAATTGTTTTAGGTATGCCCGTTTGTGCTAAGACGGAACCCGGTCGCAAAAATGGCCATGAGAGGGACACGAGTCGCTATGAGAGGGACACGAGTTGGTCACGAATGCTGCCCGAGGTAGTATGTAAGGGCCGAAACCTGTCGAGCAGACCCGAGTGCCCAACTCAGTCAATTACATAAATAAGCGGATCCAGATCCCTTTTCATTTTAAAACAGTAAAATGTTTTATGTTGTAGGCAGAAAAATTATCTGAGACAGGATTTTGATATTTTGGATCCCTCCCTTTTTAAAATGCTGGACCCGCCCTTGAAGACTCACAGAAGGCACAAAAACAGGTTTGACTTCTTTCCTGAGCACGCTATCCAAGTCGGTGTCCGCCATGAATGGATGTCTCTTGAAGCCAGCTAGTGTAGACAGCCTCTGGACCGGGTCCACCTCCAGTAACTGAAAGCAAGCAGTAGGAGAGAAGTGAAGGAAACAACCCGGGGTTCCACGTGGGGAGGGTTGGGTACACCTGTGGTGGTCAGTTGACATTTGGACATAAGTAATGAAAACAAAAAACTCAAGTTGGATGTAAGTACAGTAAACTACGTTTATAACGAACACGCTTATAACGAACTGGGTTTTTTTTGTCCCGGCCATTTGCTGTTTATATGCTGTATATATGTTTATAACGAACTACGGTTATAACGAACTAAAATTTGTGGTCCCTTTGAGTTCGTTATAACCGTAGTTTACTGTATTGTTATTGGGTTCTAAGGTTATATGGCTATATGCCCAGGGATGTTATTAGAAGGGAAGGACGTGTATTGTTTGGTAGATTCTTGTATTGTAAGGGGTGGTGTTCGGAAGTACAGTAATACATTTTTGTTTGTTCCTAAATTGTTTGTTTCTAAATTGTTTGGTGCTATAGTGAGGGGTGTCGTTAGGAAGAAAGGTAGGTAGTTGCTTGGTGTTTGGTCGTATGGTGAGGGGTTGTAGTGTATATTGCTATGGTTTATTCAAGCTGAGTACAGATTGTGTAAAAGACTATGCGAAAAATCCTACCCGAACGGGCGTATTTATATGCCGCTTCAATGTAGTATTCCTTCCCTTAAACAAGATTTGTCTCCCTTATCCCGTTGACATGACATCAATGCAAATGGTGATTCATATCGATATCCATGCATTCAGTTGTAACAAACAAAAGTCAAAAACGTTATTATTTATACATACATTTTCAAACGAATTTGTCACAAAACATTCTTTCTTTTACTTATTTGGTATTACTGAACTTTGGTATGGTATTTCATTGGTTGATTCTGTTAACGGGGACTGCTTAAAGGCTTCGGAGAGCCTCTAACACGCCACTGACCTGTCGGAGGAGATCCTTCATGCCGTTATCACAGAGCGACGGGTAGTGCACCTTGGTGTTATGAAACAGTGCCTTCACCTCTGTCAGGGTGGTGGAACCGTGGATCTCGTACGGCCTCTGGCGACACGAAGGGAACAGTGTAAGGCCTAGTTATGACCCCTTCGAGTCAATATAAATGACACTATAAACAATTAAAAAACATAATATGCATTTTCATATGACGAACCACTTCCTTATTTCTTTCCCGTACTTGCGTGTTTGGACATCATTATCGAGTAGAGATACATAGCTAATATGAGTGAAGAAGGCAGGTTGTAGATTGGGGTAGGAAGTTCCCTTGTTCTACCCCGTGGAGTTTCACTACATCACATACTGTTTATAGTCCTAAACGAGGACTGTTGGTGACAAAGTGTGTGACCAGTCTGATGGTAGGCCATCTTTCCCGACTGGGAGTACTGGTTTGCATGGTCCAGACCATTTATAGATCGCATTGACATAACTGTAGTATTGCTGGTTGATATACCTAGAGCATTCCTCGTTGATATAACTGTAGTATTGCTGGTTGATATAACTGTAGTATTGCTGGTTGATATAACTGTAGTGTTGCTGGTTGATATAACTGTAGTATTGCTGGTTGATATAACTGTAGTAATGTTCATTGATATAACTGTAGTATTGCTGGTTGATATACCTGTAGTATTGATATACCTCCATGTATAGCATTCCTCGTTGACATAACTGTAGTATTGCTGGTTGATATAACTGTAGTGTTGTTGGTTGATATAACTGTAGTATTGCTGATTGATATAACTGTAGTAATGTTCATTGATATAACTGTAGTATTGCTGGTTGATATAACTGTAGTGTTGCTGGTTGATATAACTGTAGTATTGCTGGTTGATATAACTGTAGTAATGTTCATTGATATAACTGTAGTATTGCTGGTTGATATAACTGAAGTATTGATATACCCTCTAGCATTCCTCTTTGATATAACTGTAGTATTGCTGGTTGATATATCTGTGGTATTGTTCATTGATATAACTATAGTATTACTGATTGATATACCTGTAGTATTACTGATTGATAAAACGGTAGTATTGTTCATTGATATAACTGTAGTATTGATCATTGATATAACTGTAGTATTGCTGATTGATAAAACTGTAGTATTGTTCATTGATATAACTGTTGTATTGTTCATTGATATAACTGTAGCATTGATCATTGATATAACTGTAGTATTGCTGATTGAGAAAACTGTAGTATTGCTGATTGATAAAACTGAAGGATTGTTCATAGATATAACTGTTGTGTTGCTGATTGAGATAACTGTAGTATTGTTTATTGATATAACTGTAGTATTGCTGATTGCGATAACTGTAGTATTGCTGATTGAGATAACTGTAGTATTGCTGATTGATAGAACTTATGTATTGTTCATTGACATAACTGTATTATTGATCAGTGGGATAACTGTAGCATTGCTGATGGAGAAAACTGTAGTATTGTTGATTGATATAAATGTAGTATTGTTCATTGATATAACTGTAGTATTGTTCATTGAGATTGAATACAATATTCACTCATCACATTTTTCTAAGAGAACAAGTATACTCTCACCCTTCCTTTGAGCAATTCAAACGCTGACACTCCCATGGACCACCAATCTACCGGGTACCCATATCCACGGCTTTCCTCCAAGGAACAGGCGAACACCTCTGGGGCTAAAAACATAACAACACACCTGTATGTTCAGTGCAGGTGACTTGGGAAGTGTTTACTTACTTACTTACCTTACTCAGTATTGTGTCCGCCAAGCCTATAACTCACCCCTCGCAGAGATACACTACAGTTTAGTGTGTACATGTGAAAGAGTGGACAAATACTGATATTCTAGTATTGCGGAAAAGTTCAATATTATCAACAGTGAAACCTGGTCAAAACGAAATCCCCGTATTCCTGATAGACTACTGGAAGTAGCGTAACTATGGTAACCTCTTGATATAATGAAGGCGGATACATTGAATATTCCACCCTGACTTTGGGAAATACTCGATTCTGATTGGCCAACAATTTATGTCACCACGCGTTAACACTGACTGGTTCCCGTTCCTTCCTGCTACAGACTGGAAAGGGGGAAAGCTACAGTGCCGAGAGGAAGCGAGAACAAGTGTTGCTCCCAAAGAACCAAGACTGCGAAGGACTATTTATAAGAAATCAGCAAATTTTTCACGATTTCTTAAGGCGATATGTATGTCCTGAAAAGAGACCCATAGAAAGCCTCATTGCGAGAAGTAAGCTATTGCATGTAAACTATCAATTGTCTAAATGTGAGGGTTCCGCTTCTAACAGGAATCCAATTATATCACGGCGTGTCTCAGCTTAATGTGGGGGGAGCAGGACCATGATGCTGACAAACCTAGAAACATAAATGGGGCGATTCGAACCCCAAATCATAGATTTTTGGAGAGCCCAAGGGACGCAACTCTGCACAGCCAACTGCGACGGCTCAGACGACTGGGGCCACCCGTACCCTCTCACAGTGATAAGTCTTACATGTAAGTCTTACATGTAAGTCTTACAATATAACTATGGTCCAGAGGATCAACACGGCGCAAAGACACTTTGTAGCATATCTACCTATTGATGCAAGTACCTATACTGTCATAAAGCGCACATGTGTAACCCAGAAGATAAAACAAATTGTAATTTGCATGTGGTACCTTCAGAATCAGACCGCCTCCGTGGTCTAGAGGTAGAGCGTCCGCCCGGAGAGCGGAAGGTCCGGGGTTCGATCCCCGGCCGCGTCAAAACCAAAAGACGTTTAAAGATGGTACTTGTTGTTACCCTGTCTGGCGCTCGGCATTAAGGGGCTAACACAAGGACTGGTCGGCTCGGAGTCAGTATACTGTGTCTGAGTGGGGTATTCATGTTAAACTGCGGCATGGTATCTCAGTGAGCTAGCACTATAAATCGGCATCAGTCCGGACTAATACAAGCAACCACACAAACACACACACGTACATGCACGTCGCTATATAAGTGCAATAATCTTTGACGCGACGTTAAACCCCATTTCACCTCACCTCACCTCACCTTCAGAATCAGGAATGTGAATATGGCACATTTCATTTTAAATATTTATACAGAGCCTGTTTTGCACAGTCTTATATGTTTACATGGCCAGAACGCAGGAGGGAGTCTGCTTTTGGTTGTTGTTTTGTTTTTGTTTAAGTGACTCAACGGACGTTGAACACAAAGACAATTCTATGATCCTGCGGTTATTGGCACCTCTGGATAAAAAACCCATTCATAGACAGCGTTTTCTATAGAATGTTTGTGTGTAAAAACGTCAACGCCAGAGAACAACCAGGGACCCGTTTCACAAACCGATCGCAGCGCTACGACCACCTTAACGCCTATACTATAACATAGACTTACGATCGACTTAGAGCTACGATCTCTTTGTGAAACGGGCCCCAGTCCCGGTTATCCGCCAAAACAAGCCCCACTGGGAGCAAAAGGCGAATCAGCGGTGAAAAGCATATGCACCGAAAATCAATGATGACACTAAAGGGAGCATAAAGAAACACAACAGTTAATGCACGGTATTCCGCACCGTTTCCTCTTTGGATTGTTAACATATTTTTTCACAGACGGACGCTGCAAAATAAATTTAGGGACACATTTCCATCGAAAAGTAAACCAAAAAATGAATGAGCACTGACTGTTTTAAAAATGAAGCACGAATTAAATTTACATCGTATTCAAATAACGTTAGTAATGCGGTCAAATGTTTTTAATGCTTTGCTTTGGAATAACCATCGTTCCTGTTAGTGCTGCAGTGACCCAGTGGTGATTCCAGGGTCAAATAGGCACCAAGTAATCTGTTTGTCGTAGCTGGTAACGTAAACGAACATGTGTTCATGCTTGCATTCGGCACCATTCGCATGTTTCCGTTACCTACAACCTACATTCGGCTTGTCCCGGAATGGGACGAGTTGGTCACGAATGGTCATGCTGGGTGAAGTGGCTGATTTAGTGTCATCGTACCCCGACGGCGTGGGGCAATGCTCATGACGTCAGCCACAGGTCCAGATTCGACTTAACTGCCGGGGGAGAATATACAGTAACCTCATTACTGTTTTCATCAGGTAATGGTTTGATAACGTTTGTAATTTTTGGTCAAATCCAATTTTCAAATGTATACTTTCTTTTGCCCTGCAGTGTATTTACTGGCACTGATACAGCTAGAATAGTGCTGACTGCGGTGTTAAACAACATTCGTTCACTCACGCGCCCAGATCATTTGTAACAGTGGCGATGTACAGTTTCACGCCTCAGCTGAACAAATAAGCTGATTAATTTTTATCAGTTCGAATCCCTGAATCGCTACAAGTATGATCCCTAGTCAGCACATGGTCCGTGGCGTGGTATTCACTTATATTTGTCGCTTGTATTCACCATAATGAAGGTTTGAGATCTGTGTCCATTTGAGATTTTGAAATATTGTTCAAAACGCCAATCACTCGCAATACACACTTACAGGCTACGTAACCAAGCCATATCGATGTATTTTGAAATTGACGCCATTAAGCGGTAAACTTTACAAACGAAATAAGGTTCCACGACTCATCGCATAGTTCCATCTCATTGTCACATACCCATATACGGCTTGGTTCCCGACATAGATGTAGCTAGTTCTCCCGTGGCAAGTGTGGTGGCAATATTGAAGTCCGTTATATGAGCGTGACCTGTGAACATGAATAAATATCATCAATCCAGAGACTTAGAAATTAGATATTACAACCTGATCAAATTTAAAGATTAGTGATTTTTTATGCACACTGATGGCAAAAGCAAACAGGTTGGTATATAATAGTTCTCTGGCACATCTCTGGCACAGGCTTAAGATATATCTATACAATTCGTGATGCATTGATGAACGGATCAAAGGTCTTGTCGCTTTCGCATGAAACAAGAAACATGGCAGCATTAAAAACACATTGTAGTATCGTGATCGCGTAAACGGTAAATTGCATTTATGAATGATAGGACTTAATGAGAAATTTGGTTTTAGTTTCAATCGTCTTAAATCATAATAACGCGGACAAAAAGACAAAAAGGAAAAAGAAACTTATTTCAATTTCGCCGAGGTCGACAAGCTCTTTGTTTCTTTCGCTCAGGCGGTATGTTACAATTCCGACCAGTTTAAATTGTAAATTATGAGAACTGCATTTAATGTATTTTGAATACAAAAATATATTCATAGTTCAAGTCACAACATTTTAGAAAAAAGCTAGTTATAGTAAGACATTTTGGAACTTGTAAATAGATCAGTGTATCAATCCGGAAGAAAATGGCCCTTAGGACATAGAAACACAGAAAAAAAACTTGCTTGTCACATGTCTGAAATACCCTCGGGTAACCAAATCCTCATTAAAACGGAAACTTATTTGACCTTGTTCATCGTAAAGACGTATGTCAACAGTTTGGGGGATATGATTCTTGCATCTGAAGAAAAAGCAACCAATACTGTTTTGAAAGAGGAACTTACCCTCTTCGTCCAGTAAGATGTTGTCAGGTTTAATGTCTCTGAAAATAATACAATAATATTTTAGCAATGTAATCAGATATATAGTTAGACATACACGAATCAGAGCGAACTGGTGACCTAGTCGGCTAAAACGGCCGCAGTCAGCAATACTCCAGCTATACCTGTAAACAATCTAGTAAACCAATGAGTGATAGCATTAACAACGATCCGTCATCAGGGCACGATGACACAGTCAGGTAAATCACACAGCTTAATAGCCTGATCTTCATTTAGTCGGCTGTAACATGAGGTATTTGGGACCTATTCCACTATTTGAACCCGTATGTGGTTATCATAGGCACCGGACCAATGAATCATAAAGACGTACAAATGTCCCTTTGAGTTGATGTTCTCAGCCCCGTGGGGATTCCGGGTTTGAATTGGTCCAATCAGTGAGTGAGTATGGTTTTACGCCGCTTTTAGCAATATTCTAGCAATATCACAGCGGGGGACACCAGAAATGGGCTTCACACATTGTACCCATGTCGGGAATCGAACCCGGGTCTCCGGCGTGACGAGCGAAGGCTTTAACCACTAGGCTACCCGACCGCCCCATAGGTCCAAGCAACTAATGCTGGTTGTAAGAGGTGCTTAAAATATCGATCACTGGATTGTCTGGTTCAGACATTATTATTTTCAGGATTCCGTTATAAAACTGGAATATGGATTAGTGCCGCGTGAAACAACAATCAGACAAACAAAATATGCCCTCAACGGCAATGTTTAGAAGGTGCGCTGGAGTATCCTTGTGGCTAAAGCGTTCGGTGGTCACATCGAATTCCCGGGTTCGATTCCCCACATGGGTACAATGTGTGGAACCTATTTTTGGTGTCCTCCGATGTGGTATTGCTGGAATATTTCTACAAGCGGCGTTAAACAACACTCATTTGCATTCTCGTCTTGAAGGCCTCGGCATACTCAATAATGAATACAAATGCTGAGATATCTTAGTGCCATGTTAAATATATGTTAAAAAATGGGAGTAACAGCCGTACAAAAGCCGTGGTGCTAAGATCCCTTTGTGTAAGAGAACCCCGGTATAAAATACTAAGACGGTCTTATCAGTTGAGTTCCGCTGGCTCATATCGTCGTAGCCCTTACATAGCCGTACAATAGCCGCAGCGCACAGCTCCCTTTGTGCAAGAACACCCTGGTATTTAATACTAAGACGATCGTTATCAGTTGAGTTCCGCTGGTTCAAATACTGCCCAACTAGCCGACTGATGCAATAACGCCCTTGGCTTTCTTTCTACTGCTGATTACATACTTGTCGAGGTTCTGAGGTGTAGTTCAGAGAGGCTGTCGTACTGCAAACATTTCGACTGGGTCAGAAGGGAAGTGTAAAATGTATTGACAGCTCTTTCTAAGTGCTTTATTTGATCAGTCGACTCAATCTGACCAGGATAACAGATTTAGCATTGATCAGATCTTGTGTCTGAAGAACGAGTCACGGACGCTGTAGTCGACTGTTACTGTCTTGGAGATGGGGATCAGTTCTGATGTCGCCATGTGGAGCTGGGTTTGTAGTTCAGATGTCACATGGAGCTGGGTTGTAGTTCAGATGTCAAGTGGTCATGGGTTGTGGTTCAGATGTCAAGTACAGTTGGGCTGTAGTTCAGATGTCACGTGGAGCTGGGTTTGTAGTTCAGATGTCATGTGGTCATGGGTTGTGGTTCAGATGTCAAGTACAGTTGGGCTGTAGTTCAGATGTCACGTGGAGCTGGGTTTGTAGTTCAGATGTCAAGTGGTCATGGGTTGTGGTTCAGATGTCAAGTACAGTTGGGCTGTAGTTCAGATGTCACGTGGAGCTGGGTTTGTAGTTCAGATGTCACGTGGTCATGGGTTGTGGTTCAGATGTCAAGTGGTCATGGGTTGTGGTTCAGATGTCACGTGGTGATTGGTTGTATCAGATGTCACGTGGGCCTGAGTTTGTGCTTCAGATGTCACGTGGTGCTGGGTTGTGGTTCAGATGTCGCGTGGAGCTGTATTGCAGGTCAGATGTTGCCATGTGAAGCTGGCTTGTAGTTCATGTCGTCACGGCGAGCTGGATCTGTAGATGCTCAACGTCTCTGCAAATAGCTCTAAGAATGCTAGTACAGCTCGCGGCCAACATGTTCTACATTGTCGGTGCACCACGGAGCGACCCAAGTAAGCTGTAATTAAAGAATGACCAACGAGACACAAGGTCTGCGGAATTTTTGTCCGGAGTGATTGGGTTGAGTAATCCTCTATCCTTCGGAGACATTCATTTAAGAGAAACACAGATAGTAATTCCGAGTTGTGAGTATTTTTGTCGATATATTAAAAAAAAAAAAAAAAATATTGAAGAAAAATGATGAAATGTCTACCCTACAAGGTAAGTGCATTGACGTTTACCTGTTGTTTAGATGCCGTTACGTGATACAATGGTGACGTGGTGAATAATGGATGGCGTTGTATCGTACTGCTCGGAAATAGCAAATTGACGTCATATCGCTTCAACTGACCAATCAGCTTTAAGAATCGGTAAAATGCACACATAGTTTTCAAATATCGGAAAGTGTTAACCTCATGGGCTAATTATATCGAGGGTACTCGGCTAATCGTGTCAAATATGATGTTTATCGCATCCAGTGACCTGACAAGTAGCACCAATCGATGAGAAATACATGTTATTTGACAAGGAAAGCCATCATTGGGTTTGTTTTCATAGTGATCTTAGTCTGAAAATCAAAGTGTCACCGAGGAAGACTGAAAGTAGTTCATTGTATATTTCTTTCGGTACAAAAACAAAAAAACAGCGTTATCACTGTCCCCCGTCATGGGGCACATTAGAATTGTTTGTTCATATAATAATGAGTATAAACTATAAAAAGAGTCCTAAAAAGCCTCAAGAAGAGATAGGCACTTGGGCTGCTTTATGTCATCAGAAAACATGATAAAAAGTAAAATTAATACACACAAAAGGCCCCATTGCTGAAAAAAATAACTCAGTCTTGATAAGTATGTCTTAGATAAGCTAACTTCAGTAGCTTCTGAGAAAACCATTGCAAACACTATGCACCAAGCAAAATAGCATTAGTCAAGGTCCATAACTCTGTAAAGAGATATTTTACGGGACCAATTTTCGAACTCAGTCTTGACATGTATCTCTGAGATAAACATGCATACTTTCATTCGTGTAAATTCAGTTTCTGAGAAAACTTTGTCCCCATTCCACGCAGTATGTACTACTTGAAAAGCACGGGCCATAACTCATTAAAATATGAATTTATGACACCAATTTTAAAACTCATTTGAGATCATGACCAGTAACATAGTGTGAAAACCGATGAGGAAGGAAACATGATAACTGTTGAACTCTCTACAGACAAGTACAAACTAGATATCATTAACATCTACGTCCCGAACACCGAATATCCACTTTTGTTTGAAAAATCTCGATATACTGTTCCGTTCACTTAATAATAATTAAATGTTCGTTGTGTTCATTGAAATTCCTGCATTCTGATTAGCTGAATTGGTCACGTGTTATTGCATTCATTTCCCAATGAATGTAAAAAATTAAACCACGCCCACCGATGCGCACTACTTTTATAACTGTGAAATGTGAAAATCCCAATTTTACAGTCGAGGGAATGCCCTTTCTGCTCACGTGTATCGTCATGCACAGGACATTTAGCGACTTTCATGCATATTCATTGTCCAAACTACCCTTTGAAACCGAAGGCCAAGAATGAATGAAACAGCAAACGTGCAGGCTCGCTCGTCTGTTATTTCCCCGCTCGCCTCGGTTCAACTTTCATGTCTTCGGGTTTCATTTCTAACAAGCATTTCCCCAACTGTGTTTTACCGTAATCAGGGAAGTAATGTCTGAATCTGGCGGTAACTGACCAGGTTATTTAAAAAAAATTCTCCCGGACATATGTCTTCCGGTTCATTACAGTCTGACTGTTGCAGTTCTTTTAGCCTCTTGCCTTAATTGACAGGTCCATTGAACAATCAACATTTTGATCCTACTCTCCGTTGACTGGCTACTGACTGTGTAGGCGTGTCAAGGTATGTGCATAAATTAAACGATTGTCTGATTCATGTCAAGCCACAGGATGTATTCCTACACCTGGAATGTTTATCAATCTCGTCATTTTTGTCTGTTTTGATATATACAACTGTTTTAGGTTAAACAAGTATTTGTCACAGAGTGACGAAATATCCCCCGCCTGTACACCATAGTACCAAATATGAAGACAATCCAGCGATTAGTTCTTGAGATATTGTGGCAACACCGTTTTCCAACTCCAAAAACAGATTTGCCTGCTGTGACCTTGAAAATGGGGTCAAGGTCACCAAATCTGACAGGTGTATGCGGTGTCTGTATATACACTATAGTTCCAAATATGAAGACAATCCAGCGATTAGTTCTTGAGATATCGCGGCAACACCGTTTTCTAACTCCAAAAGCAGATTTGCCTGCTGTGACCTTGACAATGGGGTCAAGGTCACCAAAACCGACTGGTGTCTGCGGTGTCTGTATATACACCATAGTTCCAAATATGAAGACAATCCAGTGTTTAGTTCTTGAGATATCGCGGCAACACCGTTTTCCAACTCCAAAAGCAGATTTGCCTGCTGTGACCTTGAAAATGGGATCAAGGTCACCAAAACCGACTGGTGTCTGCGGAGTCTGTATATACACCATAGTTCCAAATATGAAGACAATCCAGTGTTTAGTTCTTGAGATATCGCGGCAACACCGTTTTCCAACTCTAAAAGCAGATTTGTCTGCTGTGACCTTGAAAATGGGATCAAGGTCACCAAAACCGACTGGTGTCTGCGGAGTCTGTATATACACCATAGTTCCAAATATGAAGACAATCCAGTGTTTAGTTCTTGAGATATCGCGGCAACAAACAGGTGGGACGTACGGACGGACGTACGGACGGATGGACGGACGGTCGTGAATACTATATCCCCCGCTTCGCGCTTTCGCGCGGCGGGGGATAACTATTGTAGATAAAAC